TCGGTGCTGACTCAACATCCTTTGTGGAGGTGCCGCTGGATGTCGTCATGCAATATTTCTACAGAGCGAAGCGTCAGTCAAGTGCACTGCCGTTGTCACAGAGGTTAGCCTGGCTCGAAGCCCGTGACCTTGAGGATCGCTCCGATTGGGTTGCCAAATTTCGGGAATCATCCAAGTCCTTGGGGGAGGTCATCAAGGAGACCAGTGTGGCACGTGATGCCCATTGGGTCCCACATGCGGTGCCCGGAGCACCCAAGGCAGAGGCGAGCAAGCCCACCACAGTAACTGCGGCAGCAGTCCAGCCACCATCCCAGTTTGCTTTGGGCAAGCCAGTCAGTGGCAAGAAGGTGGCCAAGGTGATGCGTGATGGCTCCAAGATTTGCCAGGCTTTCCAACATGGACAGTGCAAGAACCCCAAAAGCTCTTGCCCCCAAGGCCAGCACAAGTGTGGTATCGTGGTTCGTGGTGAACGCATTTGCGGTATGCCGGGGCATGGAGCTATCCAATGTCGGGCGAAGATTTCGCCATGACGGGGCCCAGCGGGAGAGGCGGGCACTTCTGCTGGGCAGGATGAGGCAAGACCCGTAGACAGAGTTGACTGTCAGCTGCCACGTATGGCGGACCTTTATGCGGGGCCTAATACACCTCTGTCCAAGGCCTTCATCTTTTGTGGTTGGGAGACCATTTCAGTGGACTGGATGTTGGATAGGAGTCATGACCTCTCCAACAGTCTCAGGCAGCAATCGTTGCATGAGCAATTGCAGTCTGTATGCTTCATCGCAGCAGCTTTGGATTGCTCCACCAAGAGCCGCGCGAGGGAAATTCCGCGGGATTTTGGTGATGGACGCCCACCACCTCGGCCGTTGCGATCTGAGCAGCACCCGCTGGGTCTACCTGAGTTGACAGGTTCTCAGCAGACACGGGTGGAGCAAGATAATGCGGCTGCTAGCTTTGTGCTATCCGAGATCGATCAGTTGGTGGACAGGGGTGGTGGATCAGTCCGCGAGAACCCATACAACAGCCTCCATTGGTGGACACCGGATGAGGTAGCGATGTGGGAGAGCGGTCGCTGGTCCGATCAGCGGTACTCAGCCTGCTGCTTTGGTGGCGCCAGATCGAAGCTGCAGCGGCTGCGCCACAACATTGCAGAGATCGCTCAATGGCCTCGAGCTGACTGCAGCCATTTTCATGATCCCCAGGAATGGGAACCTTGGGTGCAGGATGGTAAGCGCCATTTTCCTTCAGCTGAGGAGTCCGAGTATACAGCAGAGCTCTGTTTTGCAATTGCCACGGCAGCTTCGTGGTGGGCAGTGCGTGTTGGACACGCCAAGCTCTATGTGCCGAGGTCCCCATCGCCGAGTTGTACCGGGCATCGGGACCATTGGCTTGACCTCGATCCCAGAGCACTTCGTGAGTGGGCTATGACCCCACTGGCCATTAGCCTGGGTTTGAGGCCTTTGGATACAGCTGAAGCGGCTAGGGTGCCTACGCGAGCATGTGTTGAAGATGTTTTGCAACAGGGTGCACTTCCCCCCGGTCATGTGTATGTGGGGCTTGGAAGTCATACCCACCGCCTACCGACCACCAAGTGGAAGTCTCCATGGCAGGTGGGCGTGAATTGCACCCCTCAAGACTGGGTTCCCTACTACGTCCAGTACATCAGGGAGACACTCTGGTGCGAGTTGGATGAGCTCGAGGGATCAGTGCTGGTCTGTGATTGCCCTGCAGCCCAAACTTGTGAGGCCGACCTCCTAGCCGGGTTGATTTTTGACCGCTTGAGTGAGCAAGGCCAGCGGAGTGCCCCACAGGTAGTCCAAGGTCATTCTGGCAGGAGTCACCAGGGAGTTACCCGACGTGTCCTCCTGTCAAGTGTAGCGCAGGCTACAGGCATCCCCTTTGGGCCATTTTACATTCTGCAGGAGTCCTTGGCGTTAGCGTTCAAGAAGCTGTACCCGGGCGAGTGGTTCGAGGGAGTTGCCATCCCCTTTGTAGAGGACTTAGTTAACCAGCACCCACTTGACCTGTTTGTGCGATGGCGCCACCAACAAGGGCTGGACATGGAGGGCAGCTGTAACCCAGTGTTGGCAGCCCCTTCAGTGCGGCAGAAGATGAGGACGGCAGAAGGTCAGCAGGTGGGAGCGATCAACCACAGAGCGGCGCTGGCCCCTCTTCTGCCCTTTCACCTTCAGCCAGACCAGCATTTCGAGCAAGCCCTTCAGCTTAGCATGCAACCGTTGCCTACTGAGGGGCTTCCTATTTTGGACGAGGACCTGAGGTTTGCTGCATCTTTCTCTAGCCTGCCAGGAGTTGACCTGCGCAGGTTGCGAGAGCGCGCCACGGGCATCTTATCTGAGCTGAAGAGACGGTGGAGCTCGATCACGGCCCATTTGAGACGCAAACAGACCGAGGCCATCAGGACGGCAACAATGCAGCGTGACATCGGCTTCACTGCAATTCTCCTTCTTGTAGCCAATTGGGGTGACGTGACACTGCCAGCAGGCCTGTGTATGGGGCTTCCAGCAGTGGGGTACGCGCCGCCATATGGCATTTTTCCGGAACAAGTTGCCACCCGTTTGACAAGAGAGGAGGTACTCCAGGACTGGCAGAGCCACAACAACACCATTTTGGCTCGGCTCAAGCCAGGTGCAGATGATGAGTTTTTGTTGCAGCAAAGCCTTAAAGATGCCGAGAAGGGTTTTTGTGGATTGCCCATGACTGCAGAGGAACTGCAGCGTTGTCTGGGTGCGGAACCCTACCGGTTGATCCCTCGATGCGTCATCACACAATCCTCGGGGAAGCAACGAGTGATTGACGACGCCTACGTTGGTTTGCAATCTGAGCGTTCCAGTGATGCGAACAAGCTCACCCTTTGCTCAGCGTTGCGGCCGGCCCAACACCTGCAGTATGCCTACTCCTTTGGGAGGTCACCCAACTGGGAGGCAGAAGAATGGGAGTCTGGAGGTGAGGATTGGCCGGATGCCTATCGTTTTTGCCCTATGAGTTGGGATGAGGCGTTGTGCTGCATTGTGGCTTTCTTCCATCATGAATGGCAACAACCAGCGTTTATGATTTACACAGGTTTGCTATTTGGTCTTCCTCTTGCGGTCACATCTTTCAATCGATACAGTCGTTTTGTGGAGGCTTTATCACGTCGATTTGCCTTTTGTTTGACCAGTCTGTACTTTGATGATGCTCATTTGACAGACCGCAAATCGTGCCGAGGGTCAGGTCAGAGAGCTTTGCAGACCCTCAACACCCTTTTGGGTACACCATTTTCCGAGGAGAAATGTCAGAAGATGCAGAGTACCGGCACCTTCCTGGGCCTGGATCATGACTTCAGTCAAGTCCATTTGAAGGGTCTGGTTCAGTTTTGGGCCCGTGAACGCATCGAGACCAAGCTGCTTCATCTCATGCAAACTGCCGAGGAATCCGGCAAGTTGCAACCAGGGGTGGCAGCCAAGCTCTACGGTATCGCCAACTTCTTTGAGCTTGGCGTGTGGGGGCGTATTGGCTGCGGTGGCTTGGCCCCAATCAAGCGCAGACAGCAGGAGCGCTCCGCAGAGTTAACTGAGGAGTTGCGCCAGAGCTTTGACCTGCTACGTACTGTCATCACCACCCGTCCCTCTCGCCACATTGAGATCTGGCCACATGCAGGGCTCCGCTTCCTTGCTGCGTCGGATGCTGCATTGGAGAGCCCAGGTCAGGGGACTGGGGGCTTTTTGGTGGTATGGCATGACCATCACCGGCAACACAGAGAGGCATTTGTTTCTCTCATTCCCCCATTGGTGTACAGCCTATGGGAGCCTGGTGACAAGAAGATTGCCCAATTAGAGCTGCTGCAAGTGCTCTATGCTTTGTTTTCTCGGCCGTCCAGATTTCGAGGCAGACGAGGGCTCTGGTTCATCGACAACACGGCAGCGTTGATGGCATTGATCCGAGGTCGTTCTGACAATGCAGATTTAGAGCATATGTCACGGTTGATTCATATTACTCTTTTTGGGCTTAAGGCTTGGTTTTTCTGGGAGTGGATCCCTAGCAAGGCCAACTGGTCTGATGAGATCAGCCGTGAAGGCCTCCAGGCAACATGGCACAAAAGCCATGGGTTCACCACGCATTTTGCATTTTTCCCCTTCGAGATCTGGTCTCTACCACTTCCCGCGTTTCTCCGGGTTGTGGAGTTTCTCTGAGTGCTTTGGGATGAAGTGCATTGGGAGAGATTCAACCTGTGTAGCCTCCTGAGTTTACAGGAGTGCGGAACAGGGTGTACGGATCCAACCAGTGCTGCTGTGCAGGAGACTACCTGCACAGCGTTCCAAAGCACTATCCTGCGAGGAGCAGGTTGAGACCGCACGAAGAGTTTGGGAAGAAAAAGCCATGCGGATGTGAGCCTGGATAGAGTGAACCTTTTGAGTATCTATGCTTTACATCTCACAACTAATGTATGTATGCATCGTGTTTGGCAGGCACTGGGTGTGCATTATCATTAGGGTGAGTATGTAAGCTGATGAATCCATTTTGGCTCAAGTCTGAGCCAAACTGGCTTCATCGTTCTTTCTTTCCCCTCCCTTCCCTCCCTATGAGGTAGGACTCCGGTGGAGTATCCTCCCTTGTAGGGGATCACATCATTGAGGATGCTGATCTCTACGTGGAGTCCCACGACTGTAGCACTGGGTGGGAGAGATTCAACCTGTGTAGCCTCCTGAGTTTACAGGAGTGCGGAACAGGGTGTACGGATCCAACCAGTGCTGCTGTGCAGGAGACTACCTGCACAGCGTTCCAAAGCACTATCCTGCGAGGAGCAGGTTGAGACCGCACGAAGAGTTTGGGAAGAAAAAGCCATGCGGATGTGAGCCTGGATAGAGTGAACCTTTTGAGTATCTATGCTTTACATCTCACAACTAATGTGATTATATATGTCTTATGTATTCCCATTCTATCCACATTTCCTTGGTTTTCCTGTTCCGTCCCATATTGCCTGGTGGTCCCTCGTCGTCGGTCAGGAGGCGCGAAGGATGTTGTCGGACCCTTCGGAAGTTGCTGTAGACATGAAGGGCCAAGAGCAGGTCGGGCCACAGATGCCGCACTTTGTTTTTTTTGTGTTTTTTATGCGTTCCAAAAAAAGACGATATGTGGAGATATTGATATTAGTGAGATGTTGTGGGTGTAGATGTAGATGTAGATAAATGGCAATGTGTATCATATATATATATATATGTATATGTACATGTATGTATGCACTTGTATGTATTAACACGTATACCTACGTGTATATGCGACAGAGCTTATTTTGGGGAGTACTGTTCCTTGCACAGGTCTTGCATAGACCCTGCATAGCTCAGGTAACTATCACAATCAGTACCAGTAAAGTAGGTGCTTCTTGAATGGATAGGACCCCCCTTAGAATGATGGTCCTTGGGGCTGAAGCCATTGATGAAGTGTCTACTACATAATCTTTTACACTCATGGTGGCTATTCCACCCCTTCACCAACCACTAAGTTCAAGCGGACTCTCAGATATACCTGGACAAGTCTGACTTTCTGTGATACCTTGAACAGCGCGCAAAAGTTTATGAAAAGTGTGTTTCAACATGTTTCAACCAAAAACGACTCGGTGGTTTGATCACCTTTTCGCTTGGTAACCAGCTAAATGTTCAGACTTTCTGCGAAACCAGCTACCCGAAAGTGGAAACATTCGGGTTCTCTGGTGAGAGGAGCTGTATGTTAATTACCTGTCATGGCATCATTGTTTTTTCACTGTAGCCGTCAACACGTTGACATCTGGGTTGTCTGAAAATATAGTTTCCCTAAATCCCTGGTTTATAATAATTGACCTTAGCTATAAAAATGCATTTGTTTGGCGCATCCTCTATTTTGAGACCCATTCAAAATGGATGTCATTGGACGATTCCAGTACTGGACTGCGGCGCCTCATGGGGGATGGGCATCGATATGCCAGCTGTAGTAGATTTAAGATCCACAACATTCATCCACCCATCCATCCACCCACCTGTCCATCGTTACATATGTAGTAAAGAAGTGGCCGCAAACCAGCTGAATTGTGCTGAGAAAACTCGACTTTGGACGTCAGGACAAGGCTTTGAGGAAGGCGATGCAACAACGCTTGCAGGCGCTGGGTTTGTTCCCAGAGGAGATGAGCAAACGAGGGCAATCATCTAGTAATAAGATCCTTGGGAGGTTGGAACAACCCTATGCAGTACACTCAAAATCTATAGATTGAGAAGATCATTTCTCCACATGTTCCCCCTCAATGACAATGAGCTGGGGTATCCTTTGGACACAGCTATGACCTTGGAAAGATCCGTTTCATGAAGCACTTGACCTGGCGGTTTTCGAACATTCCTTGGTTTTCCTTCCGAAGGGGTCCTGCTTGACATCAGTCGTTGATGCTTTCGCCAGTTGGAACTCAGCATTTGTTGGTATGGGTGATGTTCAGGCGGCCTTGGGACTCATGAATTCTGGTCACACTATCTACGGTAGTTCATTCTTCTGTGGTTCACCAACCCGACTTTGACCGAACACCACGGACCCACGGACTCTCCCTGACAGCCATGCGAATCATAGGATTCATTAGAAACTTGAGATTTAAATCCTCCATCGCAGACTATGGCTTTGAAAATGTGCTATACCCATGCTATACCCCAGAGATATGCAGAAATTCTCATATCATGTGGAAAATGACGGAAAATTACATTAGATCATCAGATTTAGGGGTACCCTATGGTACCAGACAAACCCCAAAAAATAGTCGATGGTATTGAACCCCTGGCTGTTCAGCTGATTCCCATTGCTGCAGGTGCGTTTGAACGTGCTTTCGGCCACCCAATTGGTCAGCGGCAGGCAGGGTTCACCGATGGAAATGGACAAATTTCATGTTTCACCAAATGAGGTGAAATGAACTATATTGCAACTATATTCAAGTTGGATAAACCATGATAAGCATCAAATTATTCACCCAGTTTGAATGGTTATCCCGGAACTGTTGGAAGATTTTGATCCTATACCAGGCACGGAACTGTTGGAAGATTTTGATCCTATACCAGGCACCACTATACTCATGCTATTGCCATGGTTGCCAACAGAAGAAATTACATGGTGCAACATGGTGCAAGTATTATGTTATGCCGCAATATGCCGCATACATATGTATACATATACATATATATATATATATGTATATATATATATATGTATATATATATATATGTATATATATACACATAATATATCCGCATTATGCTAGGTTTCACACTTTTAATATGTCTATGGGGAGTTTCGGCAAGTTGTTGGATCTCCCGTTCAAAATGTTTTGTCTCCGAGTCTCCGCTTCCGGTTCTGGTTCACCAGTAGTCCATCAAGGCCATCGTGACGACATCAGCATATCACACTGGCCAATGGTCAGCCCACCAATTGCTGGAAAAATTTTGGAAAATTGGTGGAAAACCAACTGAAAAAGCCTGAAAAATCATGATTCATCATGATTTTTTGGGATGTATACCATGAATTTCTTAACCATGATTCTCCAAAAATGCAGCTGGACTCTTTTTTTTGTGACTTCAATCTCAAAATGATCCAGATTTCAACCATGATTTACCTGGTGGCCATTTTAATCAGGAAAACGATGATCAACAAGTGGATTCAGGGATACCACACTTAAAAAGGAAAAAGCCATTTCGTCGGATATAGTGCCACAACGTACCACCCCGCAGTGTCAACTACACCCTTTGGTGCCAACCGAATCCGTGTTTAGGATCGGAAGCGAGCCATATCGAGCCATACATCATTTTGAATGTCATCGAAATCCCCGACACAAATAGCAACCGGCAGCGTTCCCGAATGGAACAGTTGACGAATCACTGGACGGGCAAGAAAATGTCATGTCGTGTCCGATATATGTTCATCCGAAGAAATGGGATAGATGGGATTACATTCTGTCCTCCATGACAAATTGATACTGATTGTAAGCGTATCTATCTATTTGTTTGTCTGTCTATCTATCTATCTATCTAATCGATCTATCTATCTATCTATCTACCTATCTATCTATCTATCTATCTATCTATCTATCTATCTATCTATCTATCTATCTACATTGGTACAGCCCTGCCGGGAACCATATAGATATGATCATCCTAAAGTAACTAGATAAAATATGGAATGTTCAAAGACATTCCCATTTTAGTGAGATTTGTTCAACACGTTCCATATTCTATCTACTCCAGCATGACTATAGAATATGTATATGTATTTAAAAGGGGGGTGGCTCAACCACGAAGCCATCCCTGAATTGCACAAAAAATACTGCAAAGCCCCAAAATAAGCCCCGAAAAGATACGTAAGCAAAATCCTACTAAATAGTGGCAACTTACCTTTCTACTTGTATCTTTTTGGTGTTGCTATCATTTGCATGGGGAAGAACAATGGTGTCCTGTAGATGTTCCAACGATTCGACGAACTAGTAAAAGTTCACTTGAGCGATGTTCAAGATGCCTTTGTTGGTGGATTGGAAGGTGGGGAAGCTATATGTCCTATGATCAAAATATGGTATATTGTTTTTGGCCATCCCACCATTAGTGATTCCTTTCAATGGGTATATTGACCCTTACCGGGAGGATGACCATCCCCTCTGATGGTCAGGCAAAAAATCTCTCACCCCAACTTCTGGTGACATTGTTGGCAGGTATACGGTATACTTGTGACCATGGCACCATATACTACCAGTACTTATTACCCTCTGGTGATTTAACATAGCGAACTGGAGAATCACCTTGAAAAAAGTAGCTAGTTAGCATCATAAATCATATTCCATAGCTATCTTAATGAAAACCAGAAGGGATTCCATAGCAGTCCATGAACCGCATGGGGGACGAAGAAAGATCAGCCAGGTTTTGATGGGGATAAAAAGGCTGTCCTTTCTAGTTCATTGATACATATATGGAAAACCCACAAAAAATTGTAAGAAGGGGTTTCCCTGCGGTTTTCCCTATCGTAATTACGATTCAGCTCCTTCAAGGGTGACTCAAGAATAGCTGGTGTCTGTTTGGGGCTTGTCAAACACCCAACAACCACTAATCTGAACTGGTTGGTGGTTTGGAACATTTTTTCCACAATATATGGGATAATCCTTCCCATTGACTAATATTTTTCAAGATGGTTGAAACCACCAACCAGTGAACCGTCTATTATTCAACCACAAGGCTTTGTTAACCATCTATTGGGGATGACCTTTGGTGCCAGGAACCTGCACGATGCTGTTGGGGCCCTAGGCCTCACCACCTACACCATTGAGGAGTGAAGCCATCGACTGACCACACCTCCAACTGACTTCACCCACTGGTTTGGTCATGATTCTAATCCTTTTTATCATTCTTATCTCTTTCCAAAGGAAACTTGGAGTCAAATAATGCCCAAATATGTTTTTTGGACCAAGAAGCATCTCAATAAAACCTAAAATGTCCCAAGATGAAGCCAGGGATTTGTTGAGGCATTGGTTTGCGTAAAAACAGGGAATTGGCAGCAATTGGTGGCAATGTTAATGGGGAACATAAGGGTTAAAGCATCGCATGTGTTTTTTTGGTATTCGCCTGTTTTCCGAGCAACCAATTTGAGCAGTTCCAAAAACAACAGTTGGTTGATTCTTACAGGGGTTGGTACTACCAAATATGTATATATATATATTATATATATATATATTATATATTATATATTATATATATATTATATATATTATATATATATATTAAATATATATTATATATATATTATATATATTATATATATATATTATATTATATATTATATATATATATATTATATATATTATATATATATATTATATATATTATATTATATATATATATATTATATTATATATATATATATATACTCGCAAACCCTGTGTTTCGCCGTCGCTAAAATCGTCATATGTCACTTTCGAAATTTGCATTTCGTTCAGGCGAAACACGTTTGTTGCTATTGTCACTCCGAAAAAATGCATTTTAACCTGCGGCCACCAATGAATTTGAGCACGTGCATTTTGCGTGGCAGGCGCGGTGTTTTTGCGATGGTGGTAAAAATGTAATTTTCATTTTCGCTGGCAGGCACGCGAGATTCTCGCGTTTTTTGATGTGTTGAAAGTGCGATGTTTTATGTTTTTTTGGATGTGACCGCGCCTATCATGTTGCTCTTTTAAATTTCCTGTAATCATTTTCACTACCCAAGTCTCTTGTGAGGCACTTTTCATTTTACGCCCTTAACATTCTTGACGTTACGCTGTTGGTTTTCTTATATTATGTTAAGTGTTAACACGCTGTTGATGGTACGCTGTTGACTTTCTTTGTTTATGTTAACACGCTGTTGATGGTACGCTGTTCACTTTCTTATGTTTATGTTAACACGCTGTTGATGGCACGCTGTTGACTTTCTCATGTTTATGTTGACACGCCAGAACTCCCTTGGACGCAATACATGCACAAAAAAACCTGATAAATGTTCAGGCCCTTGCTGCAGCCACGTTGCATCGAAAGCCAGGTCTCCAACAAATTTTGGATCCCATTCGGCTGTGCAGAAAGGAATGCGCCGCTGGCCTTGTCAGAGTGTCACCTAGTGACGCCTTCAAAGCTGCACGCCTTCAAAGGCTCCAGTGAGATGATGAAAAAGTTTCCTACATATGTTCCTGTCGGGCAAGTTTTTGAAACATATACAAAGGTTAAAATTGAAAAATCAGCAAAAACCTTCAGTTTTTAGCCGTTTCCGGCCATGGCGGGAACAGGGTTTGCGCGCGTGTGTGTGTGTATATATTTTTTTGCGGATTATCATGGTCACGTGAAGTCCAATTAGTAAGCCCAAAAAAATTGGTGATTTTTTGGATATGTGTCCAATTGTTGGTTAAAAAGTGATAGATCTTCCATGATATCATGATATCCAAATCTCATTTTCCACACAAGATATCTCCCACTCTCCTTGGGAAATCCAGGATATGAACACCTTAGTGAAGGCCTTGGCCAAGTATATCGATCTCAAGCTCGTGAAGAAGGCCTGGGATTTTTGGGTGACCTCATAGGAATGACCCAGTTGTGGTGGATGTGTAGGGACCCAACAGACCTACCTTTTGGGGATGGATTTTGCCACAAACATGCTGCAGCCTGGGGATTGTTTATATGAAAACGGACATGTGTTTTGACTTTCTCCTGAGAGCGTTCCTGCTTTGAAGTCAGCCCATTCAGCAGGCATTTTTCCCAATGGACGCAGAAAAGTCCACCACTGATGCACTTACTATTCGGATATGCCTTCGAGTGAGTGGGCCATCAGTCTCATGATGTGTTTTCCAGTTTGCGCATGGATATATGACAACCGTTTACTCCAATTTCATCTTTGACTGGTTTGTTAACACCAGTTCTTTAGATACTTGTACGGCATATTAATTCAAGGTGCATTCTTATGTGGCGTTTTTTAATATCGATATTATTCTACTGTTCCGTCTCGATTGATAGCAGGTTACCTATTATCTTTATACACGCATAATGTCCACAGTTGATTGCCAGAATTTGTTGTGATGAACACCCAACAACATGGTGCCCCCCAGTTGGCTAATTGCTTAGCTCGAGTAACTTGGGTCTCTAAGAACTAAGGTACTAAACCATACGAAACCAACTTACATAACTAGGAACCACCACCGCGCTGCTAAGGAAGCACCGAAGCAGCTCTTGAGATCGCAGACCAGCAACAGCATATTCTCGGCACAGGTCCTGCCGCTGGTGGCTCAACGATTGATATTCAAAGTAAAACACGGATGTTCCGATAGATTGAAAGTCTTTGGAAACTCTTGGATTGGTTTATTGTTCGACTCCGATCCTTTTGGGGGTTGAAAGAAAGCCAAACAGCTATGAACATTGAGGTATTTTTGCAGCAAATGAAAATACAAATATTGAAAAGATGTTTTTATTTTGGGAAGACTTTGTGGGAACATGTCGCCAATGACGTGAGATTTGGTACAATACTTCGGTGACCGCCAAAAATCTGGAAGAAATCCCTGACCGTCGCCAGTTCGATCCAATGGGGAAAACCCAGCCATGGAATGGATGTAGAATATACAAGAATGGATGGGAATAACGGAATAATGGACAACAATAATGGAATAATGGATGTAAAAATATGTAGAAGCTAAGATTTATGTTGAGCAATGGAAATTGCAATATCATTTGTTTCCCCAGTTGGATTTGTTTTCCCTGGCGTTTGCCTGTGGAAAGGTCTCCCTGCTTGGGGCATCTATATCATTCTATATCAACATATTATGCAAATGTATATACACTGTACACTTGTATTCATATTAACTCCATGTATAAACTGTTTTAATGTCTGAGTCTATACAGTATATGTAGTAAACTTATACACAGTGTGTGTATATGCATGCATCCATGCATCCATGCATCCATGCATCCATCCATCCATCCATCCATCCATACATACATACATACACACAACACACATACACATATACACTTTCGGTTCCGTTCCGTTCCGTTCCGTTCCATCCCATACATACATACATACATACAAAGATACATAGGTACATAGATACATAGGTACATAGATACATAGATAGGTAGATAGATAGATAGATACATACCATTACATACCAGTACATACCAGTACATACCATTACAAACCATTACAAACCATTCCATACACTTACATACATACCATACATACCATTACATACCATTACATACCATTACATACATACCATTACATACATACCACTACATACATACCATTACATACATACCATTACATACATACCATTGCATACATACCCTTACATACATACCATTACATACATACCATTACATACATACCATTGCACACATACCATTACATACATACCATTACATACATACCATTGCACGCATACCATTGCACACATACCATTACATACATACCATTACATACATACCATTACATACACGCCATTACATACACGCCATTACATACACGCCATTACATACACGCCATTACATACATACCATTACATACATACCACTACGTACATACCACTACATACATACCATTACATACATACCATTACATACATACATTCATGCATACATTCATACATACATACATTTAAACATACATACATACATGCATGCATACATACATACATACATAGATACATACATAGATACATACATACAAACATACATACATACATACATCCAGACATACAGACAGACATACATACATACTTACATACATACACAGATACACAGATACACAGATACATACATACCATCTCATACATACATACATACATACATACATACATACATACATACATACATACATACATACATACATACATACATACATACATACCATACTATTAAATTTCGTGAGGTTATGTTTTTTGGGCTGTTATGTGTTCACAACATAGTCTGGCCTACGGGGGGGCCACAGATGTGTTCAAAAGTATGGGGGGGAAAAAAAGTTACTTAAAAACACATATCGCATCGCCACGCAGGCAACCTCCAAACCAGCAACAAAAACAATAGAATAAGATGCAAATCTTTAGCGACTTGAAATGGGCCCAAAATCCAACAGACCAACAGAATGACCTGTATGTGCTTAACATCCATACTAGCAGGTTGCATGACACTAGCGATTGGTCCGTACCCAAAAGCTTGAGGCTAAAGTCTAAAGCTCAACTCTAGCAAGCAGCTAACGGGTTACTATACATTTGTAGCCATGATACCACCTTTTGTAGTCACAAACATAAACTAAGTTGGCGGCTCTGCTTACCTAAATACTCAGACTCTAGGGCTGCCGGCTGCCAGCTGCCCAAGTTATTTTTTTTAATGTGTGCCTTACAATATGCATTTGTTGTTTGTTTTTGAACGATATCAGAAATTTCTGATGCATCTTGAAAAAAATATGTATCAGAAATTTCTGATACATATCAAAATTTTATGATACATATCAAAATTTTATGATACATATCAGAAATTTCTGATACATATCAGAAATTTCTGATACATATCAGCTTTTTCTGATACATATCAGAAATTTCTGATACATATCAAAATTTTATGATACATATCAAAATTTTATGATACATATCAGATTTTTCTGATACATATCAGAAATTTCTGATACATATCAGATTTTTCTGATACATATCAGAAATTTCTGATATATATTTTTTTATGATACATATCAAAATTTTATGATACATATCAGAAATTTCTGATACATATGTTTTTGGATGTCAAAACCTGATTGGTATCAGAATTTCTGATACACACCAGTCTTGGGGACACAATATGTGTAAAAAAGTTTCAAATTGAGTGGTCTTGGAAGCTGTTTTCAAACTTTTTTACACATATTGTGCACATTCATCATGTTTGCACTAGTTGTTTTTCCAATATGAGTTGGACTATAAAGCAACATGCCTCCACTTCACACTTGCACATGCACTTCAAAACAAACTTGCTTAGTACCCAAATTCCTGTTAAAGTTGGTGATTTCGCCCAATGTATGTGTTAAACTGAAGTTTAGTAATCATTATTGGTTTTGCATACAACTTTGTGTGTGTGGCTTGCAGTTTTTCACAAACGAAACCTATTACCATCATTCTGCCACACATTCTGTGTGAAGAATTTTGCAAAGCTTTAGTGGCCATGAAAATGATCACTTATGACCATAGTTGATCGATTTTGCATAGGCCAAGATCACATTTGTCCAATTCGCATGGTTTAATCAATCAATAAGAACTTAATGTCTGACCCATTTATGTTTGACAACTCAAGCCATACTTCTTAGATGTTGCAATGCTTTGCCAGCTTGGGTTGCCATTCATAGATCTGCAATGGTTTCAGCAATTAAATCTGTCATGTGTTGATAATCATCATTCACACAAAGCTGTTAGATTACATCATTGAACTTTTTTTTTAAGCCCATGAACTTTGAGACTGCTGTGCCAGTGCAGTTAATCAACTTTCTGTCTGTATGAGTGTGGCTAATGGCTGTATGGTCATGTGTTCTAGGGCGGCATCTCATGATATGTGTTCACAAGTCTCGTTTCCCCAAAATTGAATAAAAAACAATTCATTTTGGCGCAACCTAATGTTTCAACACATGTTGGTGAATTTCAATCGCAATTTCTGATAAACGAGAGCTCGCGAAATTCTATATACCATACATTACATTACATTACATCACATCACATAACATCACATCACATCACACTACATTACATTACATTACATTACATACAGCCATGCATGCATACATACATACACGCTCTTGTATGGTTAGATATATCTTAAACGCACAAACATACCATGGGCGTGTGAGTATGTTCATGTATACACATGCAATATGCATATATTTATTATTTATACATATTGTCTTTGACACTTAAGGTTCAATCAGAAGTAGTTACACTTCTACTCTAAAAAGATCCCAACCATGCAAACCGAAAAATTGCACTTGGCACGCTAAATAGCTCGCCACTGTCGCGCCAGGGCCCGGATTTCATGCGAGCCTTGTGGCATTGGCCTACTGTCGATGCTTGGATGCAGGAGCCAATTACTCTGGGTGATCTAGTGGTTAGGAGTTATGGAATGCTAAGAAGCCATAGGTCTCCATATTCCCTATTAAATGGGGAGCTAAGGGCTATTAAGAGTTTTCCAACCGCATCAGGGATATGTGTAGTTTGTTTTTTCCATATGGATAGTTTCTTAAGTCATGGGGACTCCTCAAGTCACAATAGGTTCCAATAGGTTTCAATACTAAGATGGTCTCATGACTTGGACGAATTGAGGTACCTCATTTTAGGAAACATCCATTTTGTATCATAGTTTTGTGTTTATATCTAGAATCTAGCATGTATATATACGTATATATATATATGTGTAAAGAATAAATTTAGAATACATGTCTTTGATATACCTATAATATCTACAAAAAAATATGGCGAGAAATATGGCAAAAATTATAGCGGCCCCATGTGACCTCACCATAAATGATGGTTAGTAGCGGAAATCGACCCCAGCTGGCCTTTTTTCAGGTTAGTGAATTATCGTAAAAAAACAGTAAAAGAATATATATATATAGATATATACACATATATATGTATATGTACATATATATATATATATATATGTATTTTTTACACATATGTATATATATATATATATATTTATTTGCATATTTACACATATGTATATATATGTACATATACATTTATATATACATATATATTTATATATACATGTACATATATATATATATACATACATAATTACATATTTATATATATATATTCTAATTAAATCATAAATGTCGTATATAAAGCATGTACTATACGTACCTAACACTACTAAATATTACATACAGAAAACCTAACACTACATCCCTAGACAGATACCTTGTATAACCTAATGCATCCCTAATATACTACCCATTGCATGCCTATGTACCTTTACACCTATATAATTTACAACCGTATGGTAATTCCCCATACGAAATACTATACACCTAATATCTGTTGACTACCAATTTACATAGCTACCACACCCCACCACAGCCATCACCACAGAGGGGGAGGGGGGGTACCCACCCCATGTGGTGGGGATGGGGGGTTGGCGGCCTGGAGCATATATACTACAGATACTACAAAAACATATACCATATATTATATAAATGAATATCTTATATAACATATTTGTTTACTATTTACATTGTATAGAATACATATTATTCGTTTACATTATACCAATATATACATATTTGCATATTTTGTAATAATTATTTATTTATATATATTGTAAAGATTTTCATTGTGTATCTTCAGATATTGATATACATGTATACATGATACATTTGTGTGTATTATTTATTTACTATATGTATACAATATTTTTATATATACACATACATATCTTAATATAGTACGATACAACTGATAGAACTAATAAAACATAATATAATCAAATATAATACAAAAAATAATGTAATATCAAATAATACCAAATCATATAACATCAAATAATATCATATCATATAATTGAATTTAATTAATAAAATAACATATAGTATAATATGATATCAAATAATATCAAAACATATCACATAATAAATTGAAATATGAAACATAAAAATTATACTATGAAATATAAGAAAAATAATATAATCGGTAATATAATATATACAATATGTTAAACACAACGTATTTTCTTATTATTCAACTTGTATGTATATATATATATGTTTGTTTTAAAATATATATTTATACATTGTAAATGAATATACATATATATATATAAATGATATATCTTATATATATATATGTAGACCAGAGTAGTAACCACCTCAAGCAAAACAACGACCTATTGTGGAGGCTGATGAACTATGAAATCTCGGACACTTCAAAGCCTGCTCAATCCTTGAATTGCCTGCTAAAACTTAAGAGTTTCTGGAGTTATACACAAACCAACTTGGTTTTTTCCCCATGATTTTTGCCGCACCACGGCCATCATGGCCTGCCGTGATTTGAGGCGGACAAGTCGGACAAGCCCCGGCCGACTGCCTCCCGCAGCACCGAGAATTCGCTAACGACGCCCACGAAGAGCTTCGAGTCCGAGAAGAGTGAGGCCATAAGACGCGGCGCGGCTCGGCCCGGGGGCGGGTGACGAAGATATGGAATTTTCTAAGGAAGAAATCAGAGTTTGTTATATTTCATATGATTCTAGAGAATTTATCTGAAAAAAATACGGGCTACAAGGTTTGGCCAACAGAGCTAGAGATGTGAAAAAATAATGTATTTATATGTATTTATTCCACATGGTAACACAAGTTAATTGATCCACCAATTTGGGGCTACAGATGCTACAGCAATGATTATTAGAGCCAGACACACTATAAACATCTACCACAGCTGTGTGCTTTGCGCCATGGGGATTTTACGTTCCCGCAGATGCCATTGAGCAATGGGGAAGATGGAGAAAACTTGGTCCACAAAGCGGGATGTTGATCACAGCCAAAACTGATGGATACTCATGGGCTGCGAAATGAAACTGCAATCAATGAGGGGTTATACTTTGATTACGTGATATTACGTGTCTATCTGTCCGGAAGATGTTGAAGCATGCCGGCCTTGGATGTTGACATCACCATGTTACTTCGAGATGTTCATCCGCAGGTCGAACTTGAAAAGATCCAGATGGTTTTCTCGTGAAAATATGAGTTGAATAAATTAGGAAAATATAGGATGCCTTTGATAGGAATGTGTATGAATTTATACATAACATAACGTAATATAGTGTAATGTAATATAATATGGTATAATATAATATCATATGATATAACAAAATATGATATAATATAATATAATGTGATATGATATGATATGATATGATGCAATGTAATACAATACAATATGAGTGCATATAGTATGATATAATAAAATATAGTATAGTATGGTACAATACAATATAGTATAATATGATATAGTATAATATATTGTAATTTAACATAATATCATATAATATGATATAATATGTTATATATATAATTTAATTTAATATAATATAATATGATATAATGTAATGTAATGTAATATAATAAATGGATATATATATATATGAATATATATGATATGTGGATCTGATGGCACCAATGTTTTGGTGTTGAATCATCCTTATTTGCGGATAGGCAACTTGGAACCGTCGATGGTGATACCCCATCATAGACGCATGAATGAGAAATGTATATTCAACGGCAGATAGTCAAGACAAATTCAGCGCGTTTCTGGTCAAAGTCACTGCCTTCAGACCTCCTAAACTTATTGAATCGTCGATTTTCGTAGATTTTTTGGGGGATGGATTTGTTTACACCTATGTTTCCCCAAACATGGTGGGAGCTAAAGGCCGGGGTTGGATCACTCCGGCCACTTTGCTGTAAATTCTCGCATAAAAGTTACCTTGAGATGTCCATGTGCATGTCGACTGTGGAGGCTCGCACAAGATGAGCGCTTTGTGTGTGTGTGTGTAGGATGGCTGAAACCCGACCCGCAACCCTCTCGTCATTGTGCATGTGTGTGTGTGTGTGTGTCAGATCGTTTTCGTTGTGATGCGGTGCTGATTGCCCAAGCTCCTAGCAAAAAGATCTTATATGAGTTGTCTGCAGGTCCTTCTATGAAGACGTTTTCAAGAGTTTCATGCTGCAGTCTTAGAGGTCCGTGATATATGAAGATGTTGGCCAAGGTCTTGAAGATGTTGTGAAGCTCTGATGAGATCCTGTAAGAGGTCCTTGCATGATCTCGTACAGGTCCTTATAAGAAAATCTTGTGAAGATCACGCTGATGTTGTCTAAGAGGTCCTTGCATGATCTTGCGCAAGTACTTATGAGAGGATCTTGTGGAGATCCTGGTGAAGTCCTCTCTAAAAGGTCCTTGCGTGATCCTGTAAGGTCCTTGAAAAGATCTCGTGGAGATCCTAGTGTTGCATGATCTTGCGAGAAGATCTTGAAGAGGTCCTGGTAAAGTCCTCTCGGTGTCCTTGCTGATCTGGTACAGGTCCTTGTGAGAAGGCTTTGTGGAGATCTGTTTGAAATCCTCCTCCAGAGGTCCTTATACGTTAAGATCTTGAAGATGCTCTGCATTGATGCTTGTATGAAAGTTCTTCTGGGATGCTGATAGGAAATTCTCGTATGAAGATCTTCTAAGTTCCTCTATATTTGGAAGGTCCTTCTTTGACGATCTTTTGAAATTCTCTTGGATGCTCTGGTATGAAGTTCTGGTACGAGGATGTACGAGGTCCTGATGAGTATACATAGCGTCATAGCGTTGCTTCTTGCGCCAAAACAAGTTCCTGCTGCTGCAGGCTGCAGCTACGATAGCGTCTACGTTGATCCATTGCTGTTCCATTGCTGCTATTGCTTGTATCTGGTACATTGACTTCCTACCCCCCGGCAACTGTTAGGGGTTTCTTGCCGCTGTAAATTCATCGAGTTTCCCCATGTCGGACTTTTCACAGTTCGCGCAACGCGGGGAACCGCAGGAGAACCTGGCGCTGACAGTGGTTCCTGCCAAAGCCTTGATGGAGTTGTTTATCACCAAGGACCTCCGATGACCTCCGGCCCTGAGCCGCGGAATCTTTGGGTGTTTCATGATCGATTGATAGATGATTTAGCTAATGAGAAAGGATGAATGGTGATGTTTTCCAAAATGATATATGGTGATTTGCAATTAGATGCAATTCGTGGTTGTGCCCAGAACGACTCAACTCAACATGTTGGGTTGTTTCAAATACGATTGAACTTGAATTAAGCCAGAAATAACGATCTATCCATTCGTGAAAACAGGGAGATCTGCCAGCAACTGAGGTGACTCACCTGGTGACGATCGGCGATTTACTGATATTTGGAACATTTTGGAACCTTTGTTTAGGGTTGTTTTATATTTTTAGGGCATGGGAAACTGATTGGTTTTGGGATGTTGGAAAATACCCTATCACTCTGGTCGTTACATCCCATCTTGTAGATCCCATATGATCCATTAAAATCATATGGAAAAGCCATGAAAATCCTTCATTTTATGGTTGAATCATGTTAAATCCCAGAAAATGCCATGAAATCCCAATGAGTTGTTGTTTCAATTTCCCCAGTGTCCGTTGTTTAAGGGAAGCTCTTGGCGCCCGGAGGATGTGGAGCTGCCGAAGCAAGTTTTTCGACAACAAACTGTGCTGAACCAGTTCCAGGCAATGGGACAGCTGAAAATTCAGGGGAAGATTTTCCAGTTGCCAGTTGGGAATATCAATAAAACATAATAAAGCATCATCAAACCCAGTCATCATGGGAAAAATGATCAGATTTACCCTCCGGTCATGAAACGTGGCTGGATAATCCACCATTCTTGATAGTTGATTTTCCCAGCGAACTAAACCTCCATTTAGTTCGGGGATTGTTGCCATGTTACCAGAGGCCACAGTAAGGTTCAAAATGGGACACCGTCCGCATGACTGGGGAATGGACGAATTCGGATTGTTTTTTCCGGAATCTGAGTGATTTTTGCGGGGTCCCTCAAGCAAATCAATAGCAAGTCCAAATGGTGAATTCCAAAGCCCAAGACGCACTACCATCTCCTCATGGCCATAAAACCTACCGCTCCGGCTCGTCTGCGTTTAGGTCGGGGGGATGGTGGTATGAAAGCACGAAGCTTCTAAGTGGGGAAATCATCTCTAAAATGCCTGAATTATGGATTTTGCCGATAAGATCCCATTAGAATAGGATAATCAATCATAGTCGATCTACAAAATGCTGCCTTTATTTATGGACCCTGCGTTACCAGTTCCCCATGTTTCATGGCTGTTAAATCACCAGATGCCAACCGCCAAGCCCTCCAGGCCATGCGTGAGATCTTGGTGGCGGGTGATACCAACCGTTTGGTGGCTGAATTGACCTTTGCCCCTTGGCGCGGAGTTTCGTGTATTGTCACCGATCATTTGAAGATTCGGGGCAGATTGGACAAGAAATCACTGATCTGCCTGTTTCATCCTGTTTCTTGCGGAGTTTGCCAAGGCCAAAACTGTCAGTTTCGTGCAGGCGATTTGTTCAGACTGGAGTTTGTGATTACCGGAGGGTGAAATAACATGAAATAACCATTGGTCGCAAGGAGACTTTCCACTGATCAGATGCTTCACTTCCAGGCTTGTAGGAGCTGTGGATGACAAATTGGGTCAACACTGCTCATCTTCCGCCGGCAGATGACCAGTATCTCCCACAAACCCAAGCGTTAAGCTACTTAATTGCTCTTATTTCCATGAAAAAAATCATCTGATTGCCACGTGCCAACTACTGTGCTATCATAAAAAATCATTAAAATCATCCATCCATGAGAAATCCCGATTTCTTGAGACATCTCCCTTGCCAGTGCCATCTGCTCTCGAGGTGCGTATCAATGACCTCGCGGCTCCACCCGAAGCCCTGGACCCGTTGTAGCTCTGGATCAATGATGGATAGATGAGTGACTTAAAATGATGATGCCATGATGCCATGATAAGGGATAGATATGGATGGTATTAAATGATGATATGTGATGATATACGTTTTACATCATGGATACAGGTATGTATGCATATATATATATATGCATATAATATATACATATATATATATACATATAGGTATATATATATATATAGGTGAGGTGAGTTTGTCTGGATCAATGATGGATATCACGGCGGTTTGACCAACATGGTGATATCATGGGATGGTTGGATTAACCAATCACAGTTCGGGTGCATGAGAATAATCCATCTATTATAAACATAAGCTTGGCATGGGAGGGACCATAAACCATCATAAACCATCTAACTTGACCATGGCACAGATTTTTCTTTCTTTGTTTTTGTGGCTATAAATAGATAGATTTACCCAAAAAGCCCACTACAAAACCGTGATCCCAGCAGAATTCTGTGAGTGGATCAACCAGGTGGATGACAGCAGCCGAGTCTGTCCACCAGATCATTTGGTTCTCAGAATGTGGGATACCCGGATACCCCAAAATGACCATAGAAAATGTTGGAAAATAATGAAAAATATTGATAAAACCAATCGAATTCCGGTTTTACCAACATTTTTAGTCAAACCCATGTTGATCTCCTTGTCAGAACAGCCTCAGGTTCTACATTGAGCCGGTGGTGGCTGTCCTCATAGTGGTGTGCCCCGGAAAAAAAAACTGCCCCGTTGCAAGGGAGTTTCCTTGATGAGAAGTGGGTAGCATGTGCTCACCATCCAGGTGTCAAATACCATTGGATGCGTAGAGATATTTGTTTCTCGACTGGCTCTACCCACTATGTACAGTACCTATTCTTGAGGGTTAAAAAAGGGTGAAATGGCAAGCGACCCAGCCCTCAGCCTCCAGAATGATGTGTATATAGTTGTATGTAATAATATGTGTATGTATATGTATATATATATATATAGCTAAATCCACTGACAAGGTAAGAGTTCAGCGGAATTCCCCCTATTTGGATTGTAATTCCCTGGCAATCAACTGTTTGAATCCAAAAAACACAGGAAATCCGCAATGTGGCTGGTATTCAATGCAAAACATCACAGAAGTTTCCATCATTTGGCTGGCAAATGACTATGGTAAGTTACCATGGCAAATCCCGAAACACGATGTTTCCCTCCCACCCCAACCTGCAGGGACCCCCAAACAATAGACAAGTTGCTTGAATCAAGAAGCTAAGGATTGGATATGATTGGATTTTGGTGGATGGCGGATGTATCATGATAGATTATTCTAGATTCTATTCGATTTTTCGGAAACAAACCTTGCAACTTCCAGCAGTAAATCTAATATAGTGAATCCCGAAAAAACGAAAAAGCGGATTCTCCCAGGGTTTTTCCCAGGTTTTTCCCAGCATTTCCCCACGGTGTTTTTCTCCAGGAATGGCATCATGATCGGTTTCCAGACCGATCGCGCCTTTGAATCTTGGCCCGGCTGGCCATACATCGAAACTGTCTTCGTACCTCGGAGAAATTGCGAAAAGTCCACAGGAATTCACAACAGAAAATGGTTTGACAGACAATTGGGGATGGTTGGCATTACCTTTTTGATCCTTTTTTTAATGTATAGATGATTATATATGACAATATATGATTATATATGACTGTATAGTTATATATTGTATAGTTGGGAAAACTCGCCTCTGGTGATTTAACATTGGGACTTGGGACATGGGATGATTTTGAAGCCAAGCAGACAACCTCGTTGCGACATCGAACTGTGAAAAAGTCAAGGGAATCCCCAAGAAGAGGCCCAACATTTCAGGTCGGCTATGAAAAATACAGAGTCTGTGGATGATGTTCATCGATTGCCCCACTATCATCCATCTGTCACTCTCCACTTACTTGCGATATCTTGCGATTCTCGCCATGGCCGCGAGTTTCGCCGAGGCAGTCTTGCTTGTGTTGGAATGCATTGTGCGCTTCTGGCTGAGTGGTTCCAAGCAGTTTTTCTGCGGACCGGAGTCTTGGTATCCCAAAGTTCACCGCACATGGCGTGTGTTTGTCAACAATGGGGATGTAGAGTAGTGGGGTATATATATATAACTTATAGTGAAACTTATTATATGACTTATTGTATAACCTTATTGTATAAGTTATTATATGACTTATTGTATGACTCATTATATGACTTATTATATGACTTATTATACAACTTGTTATATAACTTGTTATATGACTTATTACAGAACTTGTTATATAACTTGTTATATAACTTATTGGTTAACCATATAATTGCAGTACTCTTTTCATGACACCGTATTCTTTTCATGACACTTGCCCAAAACGATGGTGCCATCACCGACCCTTCGACCCAGGACTTCCATTGGAATCTCTTCGACATGTTCCTGGTCCTCACAGACACTTGGAACCGAAAAATATGGGACCCCAACCGGATGGACTGAGAGTTTTTCCGAAAGTCACCATGGAAACTGAGAGGTAAAATATGGTAAAATAACAGAGTGTTTGCTTGGTCCAGTTTCCATGATGTTGAAATTACTGGAGGGTAGCCCTAAATTACCCAATGTCCTTCCATTTTCTTTAGCAACATATTCCCACGCATTCCCCAATTTTGGAGGGAAATCCCCTATTTTCGGACGCACCCATAGTGTTAGCCCGAGTCCACCAAAGAGGAAAAATTCTATAGTGGTTGGGATTGGGAACCACAAGTAAGCGCATCATTCACGAATTCGGTGCCAATCGAGCCACAAAATGGTTTGCGGTTGAACCACATTAAACATTATTATATATTGTAGCAACCCCAAAGGAAAATAGAAAGTGTAATTTGTCAGTCGTATCACTATGTAGCACTATTTTAGTATGATTTTACTGTTCTATCTTTTTGAGGTTTGCATCCCGCGGATTCAGCAGGCATTCCCGAAGACCAGGGAAAAGCTGCCAATCTGCAGAAACTAACGTCCTTGTGGATCCTTTTGGTAGGTAGATATATAGATTTAGATTGATTTCGATAGATTTAGATAGATGTATATATATGTGTGTGTAGAAATATATATATATACATATATATATATATACATATATATATACATGTATGTGTATGTATATATAGAAATACATGATATCCAGCATGAAAATTCCACTATGTCAGAACCTGGTCCTCAAAAAACAAAATCACCGCAGGCCGTGACGGATGTGGTGTTCCAACTCGCCTTCCCCGAACAAAAAGCGGTGCGCCTCCCCGGGAATTCGCTATATGAATGGATATTAATGGAAATGAAGGAACCAAAAATGCATGTCTTATAGTGGAAAATCCTATGAAAATGGATGATTACCCTCTGGTAATTTGTTACAGTTTGCGAACTGGAAGCCATGGCCATAGAAATAGTTGATTTACCCAGCTATAAAATGGTGGATCTTTCCAGTTCGTTATGTAAACGTTTACCAGAGGGTAGATGCGATTTTCGTATGACTTGGGACATCATTTTTTAGATTCCATCCATTTCCATCCTGTTGCTGTGGGATTCTCCAAGGTCCAGTGCCAAGGGTCAAGTTTTTTGCTGGGATGGTCGTCAATGGATTCCGATGCGTCAAGGGATGGATGGGATGGATGTTACAATGTTTCCGTAGCCGTCGATCGCCGTGGAAACACCATGGCACATATGATATCTTTTGATTTTCCATGATCTCATGGCTCAAGATGTGGTATTCATATGTTTTCTTATGTATGTTGATCATGTTTTGTGATGTATGAAGTTGGTCAAGAATGTGGTACCCAAAAAAATGTTGATGGGATAGTTGGATGAGAAGCACCTTGCTGACAATCCTCATTCATAGTAGGTGAAAGTCCCTTTCCCTCCAGAGAATCCCCATTCACAAAAATAAACCCAAAATAGAAAATTGAATGCAAATCTCCCGTTTATTTACATATATATATATATATTAAAAAAAACCGTGTAAAAAATAACCAGGTGTCTCACTGGCATGTTTGACAAGAGGGCACTTGGCTATCCCATCTAGAAAGTGGGGGTACCCCAAATCATCCAACACTGGGCCATGTTAGTATTGAAACCAATATTTTTGGGGGGATCACCAATTTTAAGAAACCCCCATATACAATTCAGGCTTATGATCACCAAGAAACACCTGGGTTATGGCGTATGGTGTGAAGAATACCCACTTGCTAACAGGCCATTGACCATATTCTGCGAGTGGGGATTATAGGCAGTGAGCCTTATACCATGTTAGTTGGTTAACTATACTACCTGATATCAGGGTTAATTATCCAACTAACATGATAAAGGGCTCACTTGCGTTAATATGACCAATACTAAAGGAATTAATACATGGTGAATTACCATAGGGATCCATAGGGCGTATTCATTCCTAATACTAGGTGGCAACTCTTCACCAGTTGATTAATTATCCAACTGTCACTTGGAAACCCAAATATAATTGATATTGCTATTAAATAGTTGGTTATGCATTCCTAATAGTTGGCTATTAATAATTGGGTGGTTCCTAACATCGGAGTACCCCAAGACCATGGGTTTCAATACTAAAATGATCTAATTTTGGACGATTTGGGGTAGCCCTGTTTTAGAAAACCAGTTGGTTTTGATCGGAATTCGGAATTCCTAATTATCACCACTAAATCCCAACAATTCCGGAAAAAAAAATGCTATCAATTCCTATCGAAAGTACAGCTGTAACCAATGACCAGGGGCTTCCACAGGACATGGCCGGTGCCTCACTGCTACGCTTCTGTCGTTTAATACGCTTGGTGCGAGTGGTGAGCCTCGGAGCTATGGCAACCAGGAGCTTCGGGGAAAAACATGATACTGTAATTATAGATCATAAATTAATATAATATGTATATATATGTATTATCTATCTATCTATCTAATCTAATCTATCTATCTATCTTTCTATCTATCTATCTATCTATACATACATACATATATATATATATTATCTATACATACATACATGCATACATACATACATACGTACATACATACATACATATATATATATTATCTATACATACATACATACATACATGCATACATAGATACATACATACATATATATATATATATATTTATTGTCTATACATACATACATACATGCATGCATACATACATACAGACATACATACATACATACATATATTATCTATACATACATACATACATACATGCATACATAGATACATGCAGACATACATATATATTTTTTCTATATATACATACATACATACATACATACATACATTAATACATTAGTACATTAATACATGAATACATTATTACATTAATACATTACATACATACATTACATACATACATTACAGACATACATTACATTACCTCGCCTTACCTTGCCTTACCTTACATTACATTACATTACAACATACATACATACATACATACATACATACATACATACATACATACATATATTATTTTTATATACATACATACATACATACATACATACATACATACATACATACATGCATACATGCATACATAGATACATACAGACATACATATATATATATTCTTTACATACATACATACATACATTCATACATACATACATACATACATTAGTACATTAATACATTAGTACATTATTACATTAATACATTACATACATACATTACATACATACATTACATACATGCATTACATACATACATTACATACATACATTACAGACATACATTACATTACCTCGCCTTACCTTGCCTTACCTTACATTACATTACATTACAACATACATACATACATACATACATACATACATACATACATACATATATTATTTTTATATACATACATACATACATACATACATACATACATACATGCATACATGCATACATAGATACATACAGACATACATACATTTTATATATATTTACATACAGACAGACAGACAGACACACAGACACACAGACACACAGACAGCCAGGCGTGCATGCATGCATACATACATACATATTATATATATACATACATACATATTATATATATACATACATACATATATATATATATATGTACATATATACAGATATATATTATGTTGATTGCATACTATATATATATATACTCATACATGATGATAATAGATATGTTTTTGATATTTTATGATATTTATTGATAATATGTATAGATGATAAGCCATGGTTTCGTGAACTGTGGTAATTTGATAAACATATGGAGGTTTCGTAATTCATTGGTAACCCCAAATCATCCAAAATTAACCCACTTTTGTATTGAAACTCATTGTGACTTGGGGATCCCATTTTAAGAAGCCCCCCAATACGAAGGTTTGAACAAGACAAACAGGGAGTTTGTTATCGCATTATTCAACATATTGAAGAATCAAAATTGGGATTCGATTGTTTTTTTAATGGCGAAAAGTTGGGATTCAACCCACGAAAATTGTGATTTCACAAGACGGTATAGGGATTAACCTTATTTTTGATGTGACCTTTTGCTGGTTCGGATACTGGTTCAGAGACTTTTGGCAAAAAATGCCGCTCTGCATGAAATGAGGACAAGACCGACGAGAATTGGGTGTCATGGGTATATGAGCAAAGAACTGGTTTGCTGGGTACAAGTATGTCTATTTGCAAAGGTGGTTGAATGATTGGTGTATGGTTTGGAAGGGGTAGAATCTGCCATGATCTATCTATCTTGAATTAAATGAACACGGTTATAATCCATTTGCCATAATCTACAGCTCTAGTGGCTTCAAATATGTTTGTATTTTGGATCTCAGGTGACTCAACAAGTCAATGCACACAGTTTCTTTGTCTCCAAGTCTCCAAGGAAAGTCTTCCGCCTGAACTACATGAAGGACGCAGATGCTGCACACAAACGCTAATCAACGGAACAGCACTCATAGCCCGCATAAACCCAACAGATTTCCAGAAAAGAAGTCCCTGAAAATAGCAAGAACACCTGCCCATATGTGATTTACTTGTTTAGGGGCCACCAGTAAATTCATTTGGCGATGAATCAAGATACTGTAACTTGGAGCATCAAAAGAGCTGGTAAATGGATGTTAATTATTGGCGATGGTTGTAGTCCCAAGGTTTCAATCCATCTTCGGGCTCCCAGTGGTTTTTCAGGATCTAGCTGTGTTGAGCTGATGCCTCGTGTTGAACATCTAATTTTCCCCGGTAAAACCATCACTAGTGGATGAACATTGATTTTTACCACGGTTTTACTGGATGGCACCCAGTAGTGATGATTTACTAGTGATGATAGTTGATCATATTCCCCATTTATTGATGCCCAAGCTTGTGGTGACCCCGGTAGGAGCTTCGCTTGATGGTCAAGGGTCTCTGGGCAGATCAATTGGGAGAAGCCAACAATGGAGTTTAAACCCTCATTTTCCGCATTGAAATATGGCAATGTTTATTGTGTACCCTCTGGTTATTTAATGTAACTATCCATAAAATCACCATGTTTAATAGGTAGATCCTCATATATCATCTATAAACGGGCCCTTTTCCATAGTTAATCCAGAGGGTAAATAACCAGAGGGTAAATCGAATTGTATCCCCATGAAATCCGATGGGCAAAGCGATGTTTTCTGGGTCAAAAGTTCTTCGGGAGACTGCGGCTTTGTCGGGGGTTAGTATGGGTTAGTAAGCCCCGGGTCCTGAGTCTCTTGCAATTTGTTTCCTGGGGTAGGGGTGATTTTCTGGATTACAGTTTTACCCAAGGATGATGAATGATTGCTGGCCTGGCAACAATTCTATGTCTAAATGATCGATTAAGTCGGTCAACCATTCATTGGTTCATTCCAAATGAAAACTTTTAATCGATAAATTCCCAATCATTACAAATGTATTGCCTATAATCATTATATACATATTCTGGTTCATCCAAAAACTATGATACAAATTGCTGAAATTCATCATTACACTGATTGTTCAAAAACTGTCTTATGACAAATTGCTTTTATTTTCACCATCACAGCAGTTGTCTTGTGGAACGCTCCAGGCCTAGTCGGAGGCATCCGTACCCTGCTCCTGTCCTTTGCCTTGCTTTTCGCTGTGCCTTGACAAAGTCACATCGCAAAAAAAAACATGATAGTTGATCGTTCCAAATTCTAAACATCTACAGCTGCTTGGTGGTTTGGAACATGGCTTTTATTTTTCCATATATTGGGAATGTCATCATCCCAACTGACGAATTCATTTTTTTTCAGAGGGGTAGGTCAACCACCAACCAGATAGTAATGGATAAGAAAAAAACACCCGGTATCAATGGCCATGTCCATCCATTTTTCGGAGAAATGATGCCAACATGGTCGGAGCGATGTTTTATTGTCGTGGCTTTAGTGACGAAATTGAAGACTCCAATGAACATATGATATATGTTATATGCCATATATTATATTATATTATATATATATATATTAGATTATATAATAGAATATGTTATATGTTATATGTTTTATATAATATACAATATATTATATACCATATATATTATATTTTATATTGTATATTTTACATTGTATATTATATATTATGTAGTATATGTTATATGTTATATATAGTGTATATATTTTGTTATATATTATATTATATATATATTATTTTACACTTTACATTATATTTTATATTATATATTATATATTGTATATTATTTATCATATATTATATATTATATTTATATATTATATTTTTATATTTTTATATTATAAATGTTTATGATATATTATTTATATTATATTATATACTATATATTTTTTATGATATATTATATATTATATATTATATATTATATATTATTTATTATATACTATATCTGTTTTTGATACATTATATATTATATTATATTATATTTTATTATATTATATTATACTATATTATATTATATCATATTATAATATATTATTTTGTATTATGTATATATGGAAATATCATCTTCAGTAAATATGGTGTTGCTTTGTTGTACATATATGTAAAGATGATATTTCCGAAGCTTGAAGGAATCCCCAAGAGAATTTCACCTGATTGGACATGGCAACGCCAGTGACACGTACCTCACACCATGGAGCCAGAACTGGATAACTATAGAGATTTGTCCATCATCGGCAACAGCAGGCATTATGTTCAGAGTGGTCCATTAGTCCATCTATGGATCATGGACCATCAGATTACTGCATATGTTTGTACAAAATGATTATACATGTATATTACTACGTATATTGGTTCACGATAAAAAAACATCCCATCAATATGTTCACCATTATCGTAAGGTCTTAGTCCAAATCCTTCATAAGCACGTATTCATTCATACATCACATCACATCACATCATATCACATTACATACATTGCGTTGCGTTGCCTTGCATTGCCTTGCATTGCCTTGCATTGCCTTGCGTTACAATGCAATGCAATACCATACCATGACATTACATTACATACATAACTGGTTGGTGGTTTGGAACATTTGGATTCTTTTTCAAAAAATGGCTTTGAAACCACCAACCAGATAATATGACATTACATTACATACATAACATAGATTAATACCATTGTAATACCATACCATACATTACATCATATGGCATAGAGACATAGAAACCACCACCCCATCCCAAGCCGCGCTTGGCTGCCGCCGCCAGGTGCTCTACGTCATCAGCGGTTTCGCCACGATGACTTTGGGCAGGGACGATCGGACGGAGGAGCTCGGCCTTCAGACGCACTTTGAAAACATCCCCAAGTGCCTTGACGCGACAAGGGACTCGGCATGGGAATATGCCCATAACTTATCCTGGAAAAATGTTTAAGGGATATGTTATACATCATCGCCATCATCACCATCATTGATATGATATGATCATGGGGATCTAATGATGATTATGATGATAGAATGGGATATTGTGAGGGATATAATGGGATTACAATGGGAAATTTAATGGAGAATGTGCCCTTTTTAAAGGGATATATTATGATATAATGTTGTTTGATGATGATGTTGATGGTGATCGTGATGGTGATGATGATGGTAGATGGTAGATGGTAGATGATAGATGATGATGTATGATGATGTATGATGGTGTATGATGATGTATGATGGTGTATGATGATGTATGATGATGTATGATTATATATGCTGATATATGCTGATATATGATTATATTCGATGATAGTTGATGATATATGATGTTTTTGATGATATTTGCTGATATTTGATGATATATGATGATATTTGATGATATGTGATGATATGTGATGATATATGATGCTATATGATGATATATGGATATGTTCAAACATAAAAAGTCAACAAAATTCCATATATATATATATACATACATTACGTCACTAATTTGTATATATATATACATTTATACAGTATCATCATCATCATCATCATCATCATCATCATCATCACCATCATCATCGCCGTCGTCGTCATCGTCAGCGTCATCATCATTATCATCATCATCATCATCATCATCATCATCAAAAGATACATGTATATAAAAATATATGAATGGATGAATGATAATGATAATGGTAATGATAATGATAATGATAATGACCTCACATCGGCTTCCGTCACATGATGGGAATCGGATTCGGGGAATCATCCCAGCAGCTGGCATGAGGATAATTTATGATTTGGAATACCCCTGTTGATTAGTAAAACTTGAAATCTAACCATCATTGAGAGGAGTGAAGTGCTTTATTCACCAAAGGGACTTCTTCCAAAGGTTTGAGGAAACTTTGGAAGGTGAATTCCCTTGTAATATAGCTGCCATGGCTGGGGAAGATATATTTTTCCAACATTATCATTAGCCCCCTAATAGAACCTGGATCCCCTGGATCCATGGAGCTAACAGTGTGGCGTGGACAGGTGAGCGGGTGCTTAAACAGAACATGGCCTGGTTGGTTCTGATACCCTCTGGGAATTCAACAGTTTGCTATTGGAAATGGCCATTGAGTTCGTTGATTTATATTGATTTATGAAAAATTACGATCTTCCGTAGCTACGTTAGTTTGCCAGAAGATACATTAATATAGACTCAGATAGATTGTTTGTTTTGGGGTGAAAAAACCTATGAGATGAGGATGTTTTCCGGGCTGCACGCGAGCGGTGGGATGCTGAATGGTGGATTGTTGGTGGCTGGTTGATGTTCACCATGGCCCTTGGAGTTCTCAGGTTTCAGGTTTTGTTTGTTCAATTCAAATATAACTCGTGATGTCACAAACTAAGTTGCTAATACAAAATCAATCAAAATTATGTTCACAAATTACATATGGTGCTTGTTCTTTAGATACGCGCAACAGAAAATTGAACCAGAACCCAAAAGTTGCCAGTCATTGGCCGAGAGGGCAGGATAAAACACTATCCAAGCTGATTGATTACTGTTTTGATTCCGAATTGTTTCGTCTCAATGTGTATAAGTATAATCTTCCAATGTATTGCATGTATTACATAATATAATCATCTATTTATCCCAAATATGATTTCACAAAAAGGTTCAATCTTCAAATGTGTGGGCATCAAAATATCGGTGTTTCTGACGCTCTCATTTCACTGAGGTCCATGTTCACGGCCTTCCGCTGCTTCTCGGGCGAATGCTTTGCAGATTCAGGTGAGTCCGGGCTGGCAATCGACGGGAAACGATTAACTATCGGGATTTGAGGATATTTTAGGATAATGAGGTTTACCCAATAGCCAATGTGAACTTCAAGTGGGAGAAATTGGGGATGATGTATTATTGGGTTTACCACATTATTCTATTTTCAGGCCGGAGAAAATAGCCAGGGCTTGTCTTTCTGGCAAATTCAGGCTCTAATCGGATTGTTTTTCGCAATTCACCTTGCCACATATTTCTTTTTGGTGACTTGGGGTACATGGATAGTTCTGGATCAAACTTCAGGGAAAGGACCAGAGATTCAGGTTCTTTGCGGATGTTTAGTTTTATTCATCCATTGTTGAGTAGAGTATGCGTGTTCGACCCATCCCTGCAGTGGATCCAACTGTCTCACTGGTTCGCCATCTTTGATTATCAAAGTGTGCACCACTGCACCACACAAAGGTCCGGTGCCAAACCAAACTTACGGAGGTCTGAATCCTATGGTTATCCCCATCAACTCTTACTCACATCGGAAATTGATCGGCCATCGCAACTTTGCCATCAACTTTGGTAGATTTTTTCCAGTTCCTCAGTGATTTTTTCAGTTACCCTCCGGTCATCGAAGTTTTCAAACGCCAGGAGTGCCTATCGCCTCGGTCCTGTCCACCAACTTGGGATGGGGTTTCGTGCTGTGTTATGTGCTGAGCTACATGTTGGTCTCCATGGGCCCCTCGGTGTTTTCGGAGGAATTCCGAGCGGCAGGGAGTTGATGGGATTGGGATGGATTGGGGATTGAAAAATGGGATTTCAATGGGATTTCATATGGGGTATATCACCCGTGTGTATCCCCAAGTTACCAAGTTATTCTAAGGAGACGAGTGGAAAATCGGAGGAATCTCCCCATGATGACCATTCAGGTTGGTGGATTCGTCTTTTTTTTTCGCGCCGATTGATCCTGTGATCAAAATGATTCGGATGAAGTCCATGGATTTTTCGATGCCGTCGTTTTTTTGTATTTGAGATTGGAGGCTGCATGGGATATGTCAGGAACTGTTGGCCCAACTGGATGTGCAGACCGATGGCGTCGTTTGTTCTCAATTCGGTAATCTGTCTCTATCTAGTCATGGAATACGGGTAGGATGGGTTGGAATATGTTTTTTCTAACTCTGGACTGTAGGTTGAATTAGAACATATTTTACTATTTCTGGGTAGAAATCAACTTCTGGTTCGTAGTTAATGTTTAAAAGATATTGGGTTGGAGGCGATACTTTTTGATATAGGTTTGGTGTAGCAATAGTTGGGGCAGCAAATGGATAGAAACTGGATTGTACGAATGGTGTAGTTTCAAACTCCCCTAAAACGCGATTGGACTAAGTAGCATATATAGCAATGGTTGGGCTTACCATGGCTTCCCAATGTTCTCTGGCTAGCTTACTGGGTTATAACCCCTTCAAGGCTTTCCACCGTTGGAGGGCGGATTCGGAACATATACAAATAGTGTATTACATTGTATATTATATATTTTACAGATACACATTGTTATTGTTATTATTTGTTACTGGTGTTGTTGTTGGCATTACTTGAAATTATTACACCGTATTTATTGTTTGTTATAGTTATAATTGTTATTATTGGTTGGTAAAGTTGTTATTATTGCTTGGTGTAATCATTATTGTTGTTGTCATTCTGTATATATATATATACACATATATATATATACATATATGTTGGTGATGTTGGATTCTCTCATTGCTGGTTCGAAATTAATGACAGTTTTGATTTGCGTACGTGTGATCACTCATTGACTGATTCTGTGGTGTTTGGATGCACATCATTCAGAAACAGGGGCTCACCTTAGGCCTGCTCATCATGGTGGTGTTGTGTTATGGCTTCATTGTTTGCATTTTACGCCTTATCCCCATGTATTGGATAGATATATTATATTCTGTACACATCAGCATACCCCCACGCAGCATGTTTATACTGTGATTCGCCTATCAACAGATACAGTCACTGATTATATGTATGCTACTACATATCACTTGTATTCTTATATATATATTCTGTATATATCCTATATACGCACAATTGTTATTATATGGTCGATAGGTCGCAGTATATCGTTTTGTTCAATCATCGATATTGCTGACCAGATCTGGCCACTTGCCCAGGAATCTTCAATGTGATTCTGGCTGCACCTCGGCTTCAATAGGAAGCTCTTTGGCGTGTCATGAAATATGCCAATCAAACCAACCATAAGAGGAATATCGTGGGAATATAACGATGGGAATATCATGGGAGTCAAGCGAAATGGGGGTACAATTCGATATACCCAAACTGGCAGTTCAACCCAGCCACGGAAAATGATCCATTGAGTTGGATGATTTACTATGAAACATGGTTATGTTCCACAGCGTTGTTAAATTGCCACAGAGTAAAACAAGAAAAAAAATCCGGCACGCCCCGAAGTTTGCAAACGCCGGTCGTGATCCAAGCTGGTCTTCTGTTTTCGAATTGGTCCAGCCATCCCAGGTCTATGTAGACATCACCATGCGCGCAGCTAAAGACGCTTGGACTTGTCAGATTCAAATGGGGCTCCCAGGAGATTAGCGGTGCCAAAAGAGAAAGGGCTAGTTGTGGTATGTGTACAGGATTGTAAAAGATTGCATTACTAAGCCCAATCCCGTACAATAACAAACTGCCTTGCATCCCCTTACATTGGGACCCAAAATCGCTGCACATCCCACAGGTTCACGAGGGGAACAGATGAAATTAGCCGATTTAGCATGTTGCAGGTGTGTGTTGTTGGAAATAAATTAAGATACTACCCAGCAACCACTTAGATATCGACCACTTAAACACTATGACTATGACAATAGTAGTGGGTAAACTATGACGACCTCACCAGGACGTCACTTGAAATGCTGGTTAGTCGCGAGGATGAAACCCCGCAAATGAACTTTTATTTCAGGTTGGTGAATTACAATAGATTCGGGTTGGTAACCTGGCTATGGGTCAAAACGTGCACTGCCACATGACTGGGGGGATGAACAGCCATGAATCCCAGCCATTTTTGGGTGGACAGAAGGGTGCCACGGTTTGACTCATATCATTCAGATTTTTCTGAAACTTCTCATCCAGTCTCCCGCAACATGTCAATGAAATATTAGTGATAGTACAAGTGAAAATCATATTATTCCTCGTATGATTACCATTACTATCATTAGTAGTAGTAGTAGTAGGAGTAGGAGTAGTAGGAGTAGGAGTAGGAGTAGCAGTAGCAGTAGCAGTAGCAGTAGCAGTAGCAGTAGGAGTAGGAGTAGGAGTAGGTAGTAGTAGTAGTAGTAGTAGTGGTAGTGGTAGTAGTAGTAGCAGTAGCAGTAGCAGTAGCAGTGGTATTACTACTACTACTTACAGTAGTAGTAGTAGTAGCAGTAGCAGTAGCAGTAGTAGTAGTAGTAGAGGTATCACCGTTCCGAAACTTCTCAGGAAACCGAGATTTCCACCGCGGAACAGTATGCTCGGGAGTCCATCCGGATCGCGCGAACCACCCGTGACCTGGCTGCCATTCGCATGAAGCTTAGAGAGTCAACCATCAATGAGGAGGTTAGATTTTAACTCACAATAGATAATGAAAATGAATAGTAGAACTGAAAACCATGAATCAATTGGATTATACCTTGTAAATTGTTGATGGTTATTGATCTACCATCTTTATCATTGATTATAACGCGCAATTGATACTGGATAGAATAATTGCAATGGTCAATAAATAAGAATCAACAATCAATAATAAAAATAGGGATGAAAAACCGGCAAAGCCAGCCAGATTCAGCCAATAAAAAGAATAGAGACTTCACCACAGGTGTGAATAAAACGCAACGTTTTTCCATATATTGTATGATTCACTGGGACCACCATCAAACTCCGATGAGGCAAGAAGCAGCGAGCTTTCCACATTACATCAGTCTCCTCACTGTTTGCATGATTCAAAAGCTTACCACAGACCATCAAAGTTTCGGTGAGTTGTTATTCACACTTCATACTTCATACTTCATTTGTCTATTCTATGTCTATCCTTTATGGATATGGGTCAAAATTGATTACCCCAATAATTGTAATGATTGGATTGTTATTTGGTTATTGGATGGTTATAACATAATTATAATATGGATTAATACTAAACCTAGACATTTCAATCTGTGGTCCCCAAGTCATGAAAATGTTGATCCCCATATGCCGCCGTTTCAGGCGAGTTGCTGAAGAAGTTCGCAGAGGACACGGTAGACAAAAACCCTCCTGTGATTTAACAGGTTGCTGCTGAAAATGGGGATCCGTCCAGTGGACATGCCAAAACGACCGTCGACATACCAAATGTAAACCGTGGACATGCCAAAAGTGACCTGTCGACGTGCCAAAAGTGACCGGTCGACGTGCCAAAAGTGACCTGGGCGATGCCAAAACAAGATTGCTTTTTAGATTAGTATTGAAAGAGAGAGAGAAAGTTTCAAATTCCTTAGTTAGTACGAGGGAAAAGGGGAAAAAAATGGCGAAACCCTTTTCAAAGTAGTATTGGACGGGCTGCGGGCTGAGTAAAATAGCAACTGCCCGTCGACATGCCAAAAGTGACCCGTCGACGTGCCAAAAGTGACCCGTCGACGTGCCAAAAGTGACCTGCGCGATGCCAAAACAAGATTCCTCTTTAGATTAGTATTGGAAGAGAGAGAAAGTTTCAAGCAGTAGAGAAAAGGGAAAAAATGGCGAAACCCTTTTCAAAGTAGTATTGGGCGGGCTGCGGGCTGGAAAATAGTAAATAATAAAACAGTAACGGCCCGTCGACATGTCAAAAGTGACCCGTCGACGTGCCAAGAGTGACCCGTCGACGTGCCAAAAGTGACCTCGGCGATGCCAAAAGTTACCCGTCGACGTGCCAAAAGTGACCCGTCGACGTGCCAAAAGTGACCTCGGCGATGCCAAAACAAGATTCCTCTTTAAATTAGCATTGAAAGAGAGAGAAAGTTTCAAATTCCTCAGTGAGCAGTAGGGAAAAGGGAAAAGTGTTTAAATCCTATTCAAAGTAGTATTGGACGGGCTGCAGGCTGGAAAATAGTAGATAGTAAAATAGTAACTGCCCGTCGACATGCCAAAAGTGACCCGTCGACGTGCCAAGAGTGACCCGTCGACGTGCCAAAATTGACTTGGGCGATGCCAAAACAAGATTCCTCTTTAGATTGGTATTGAAAGAGAGAGAAAGTTTCAAATTCTTTAGGATGCAGTAGGGAGAAGGGAAAAAGTTGAGAAATCGTAGTCACAAAGTAGTATTGGACGGGCTGCGGGCTGGAAAATAGCAGTAGATAGTAAAATAGTAACTGCCCGTCGAAGTGCCAAAAGTGACCCGTCGACGTGCCAAAAGTGACCTGGGCGATGCCGAAACAAGATTCCTCTTTAGATTGGTATTGAAAGAGAGAGACAGTTTCCAATTCGTTAGGAAGCAGTAGGGAAAAGAGAAAAATTGGCAAAATCCTTTTCAAAGTAGTATTGGACGGGCTGCAAGCTGGAAAATAGTGAATAGTAAAATAGTAACTGCCCGTCGACATGCCATCGACGTGCCAAAAGTGACCCGTCGACGTGCCAAAAGTGACCTGTCGACGTGCCAAAAGTGACCTGGGCGATGCCAAAACAAGAGTCCTCTTTAGATTAGTATTGAAAGAGAGAGAAAGTTTCAAATTCCTCCTAGGAAGCAGTAGGGAAAAGGGAAAAATTGGCGAAATCCTTTTCAAAGTAGTATTGGACGGGCTGCGGGCTGGTAAATAGTAAAGTAATAATGGCCCATCGACATGCCAAAAGTGACCGTCGACGTGCTAAAAGTTACCCGTCGACGCGCCAAACGTGACCGTCGACGTGCCAAAAGTTACCCGTCGACGTGCCAAACGTGACCGGTCGACGTGCCTGCCAAAATTGACGTTGGCGGTGTAAAGGTTTATATTGCGAAGGTCCCTTTATATCTCCCGGGTTCGTTTTGGCATGTCGACGGGCCCGGTTTCATCCCATGGCGCATTTATACACATTTATCATTCATTTACCTTTGAAAATGGTGATGTTCCATAGTTATGTTACGTGTTAAAATGGCGATGTTTCATAGTTACATGTTAGTTTACCAGAGAGTACCCCATTTTGGGAGGTCAAATGTTGATCGGCAAAGGCGGGAAAATCTACTACGCACCGGCAGCCGATGATCATCCTTCAAATTCATCCAAAAGTGGCATGGATTTAAGGCTAAAAGTGACCAAAAGGGACTAAAGTATACTAGAGTGATATGGTTTTGTCTGAGAATAGGCTATCCGATAGCCCAAATCAACTGGTTCCTCATTGTTCCATTCAAACGCTGATGTGGCCAATGGCCCCAGGCGCATCGGGTGTTCTACGACCGAGAACGAGATGATGGAGACACCTGGTGGAAAAACACAGTATTATTCTAGGGGCAGGTTCTACGGAGCATATTTTTCACGGGGGAAATGATGATTTTGCGCCATGAGTTTGAAGCGTCCCAAAAATTCAGACAATCCCAATTCCTCTCGGTTACGCTGATATTCCTTTTTGTGGGTCAATATTCCCACTTTGTTTTTCCTTGAACCACCATTTGGGGTGAATGAGTCAAATCTACGTTTGTGCCAACGGCAGCTATAACATGTTGACCCCCACTTTGGAATTGTTGAATAATGACCAGAAATAGTTAAAGATCACCCATGCATACCCATGCGATTCATACCTTGTTTTTGACTTTCATCCCATGCCAAAACTTTGCCCTCGAGCCCATTAGGCTCGAGAGCAGATGAAGTCGCTGCTCTTGTCCACCTCGGATTTCCTTGATGATGCACACATTGACGACATTGCAGCTTGGTTACCCTCTGGTAAAGGTTTACATAACTATGGAAAATCACCATTTTTGATGGGAAAACTCACTATAAATTGCCATTTTCAATAGCTATGTCAAATTACCAGAGGTTATTACATGTGATTATATTCTCTTATTGTTACATGAGAACATAACTGAGATGACTGAAAAAACTTGGTCTAACCAACACGTTTAAGCACTTCGACGTGGAAATGGTTACTTTATCCATAGTGCGTCGAGCCCTTTCATGCACGGTTGAACCCCTTTTATGTTGGGAACATGCCATGTCTTCGTCAGCCATGCAGATTCGCTTCCTCCCCTTCTGCGAGTGTTTCAAATTGTGCCCAAACAATTGGATGGTTGATCCAACAAGTAACCACCAAGTAACCAAATATCATGGGATTTGAATGAGTCTTAACTGTCTTAACTATTGAAAACATTTGAAAACATTGATGGATGATCCCTTTGTTACCCCCTTTTCTTGATCCTGGAACCCATTCGTTCCCCAGCTTCGCAGCTGTAAAACGTGTCTCCGGATCTGGGATGCCTAAAAGTTGGCTGATTTGATAACTAGATAGGATATCCATTAGGTTAATAGCTATCCGACAAATCCAAGTTACCAAAGGTTGGAATTATACTGGTTGATGGCTTCAAACATGATCCAACTGTTCAACCCTATTCGACCAGGCCATCACCAAAGAACTGTTCCTTTTGGTGATCCAGGACCGATTGAAAAATGAATTAACCGATTTTGACCATGAAACCATTGAAATACATGAGGTTTCATGGGGATAAAGTGGGTTTGAGATCCTGGAAAACGGAATGATCATCATTTTCCTGGATGTATCTTGATCTTCACCTGTGCGGCCCGATCCCCCAAGATTTCGGCTGTACCTTTCATGTCGTTCTGGGATCGTAGTAAATTATAGCAAGCTGGTTGACCAAGGCCGCAAATGATGCAATTCAGCCAGAATCACATAGAACTGCTGCCGTTGATGTTCAATCTGGATTGAGAATTATCAAAATATAATCATCCATGAAAATTGAATTTGGATTGTAAGATTCCGCCAGGAAATCATGATTGGACATACCATCATATGGAAATATTGCGAAATATTCATCCAATCCAATTTCCGTATGAAGCAATATTCCAATATCATGTCCATTTCAAATATCATCATTTCCAGCTATCACTTACCATATTTCCAATCATTCCATCTCAAATATCATCATTCCACTGATAACTTCCACTGGCCTGGAAGCTCCCGAAGTGCAGGATCAACGAGTGCAGCAACTGATGAACGATTTGGACCTACCAGCAGATCGCGCGAATCTATTTGAGGCGGGCTGGTTTGGCGGAATCAGGATCCAATGCCTGGAATATATATATATACAACAATATGCTATTTGAACATACTTGGGTGACATTCCAAAAATTTGTGATTTACGAACAAGACATTGAAAAAGAACATCATAACCTGGGGCTGTCCAGAAATGGGGCGGAATTCCAAATTGGCATTAAATCATGGTTTTTAATGATGATCCGCCGTCAGCCATGGTCCTGTACCAATTTTTGGACACACCCGCTTGATTTTACATATTAGCTATCTTTCATTGCATTTCATTGCTATAATGGAGATAAATATGGGAATCGGAACATAACTGGACGTTGATCCAAGAATATGCAGTTGTGCGTGGATAGTTGTCCAAAGAAGGGGATCATAAGATTTTTGGGAACCAAGATATGTCCAAAGGATCAAAAGCGCATGTTTCCCCATGCAATTTTGGGGCCCACATCGTTTTGGGCATACCCATATTGATATCCAATTTTCTCCCTAAATATAATTATATATATATATGTATATATAGAAAGAGAGCATCACTTTCCCTATGCTATCAGTGAAGATATATCCTTATGCAAGATATCCGAATACCTGAAATACCTCGATAAACAAACCATTTCTCTGGTGTTATCCCGTATTTTCATTGAAACTTGCAAATGAGTTCCTATGAACGAATCCTTGATATGTTGTATTAGTGATCAGCCCCAGGTAAACCAACATAAATACTAAATACGGAAATCCAGCATTTCTGGATCGGATAGTTTTTTCCGGTGTTTTTCGAATGGGAAAGCTATGGATTTCCATCGCTGTTTATGTCTTCATTTATCCCATGTTGTCCTCTGGTATTCAACATACAAAATCATGTAAATAAGTGAATGAATACATCCGTCTACATCCGATCCTCACTATTTTCCTGTCTTTGACATGGGTCAAATTGACCTAGATGCTTTTCGAGTCCAAATCTGAATCGGAACTGACGGACAGGTCAGCATTTGCTCCATACGTGAATATGTGTACGTATATTGGTATATATATGCACTCATTCAGGATTGCATTATCAAAAGAAAAACTACTGCTATGTGTATGTATATATTTATATATACAGGAGGGAGAGAGAGAGAGAGAGAGACACGAATGTAATACTTGTAAGAACTTAAAAGGTCCGTTTGACAAACATTATGTACCATATTTTCATAGCAATTCATAGCTATATGATATAGTGTGTATATATGTATAAGATTGTATAAGTACCATTTCATGTTCAATATACCATATAACATCATATAACTATGTAATTAAGTGTGTGATTATATATTGTTATATATCCTGCTGTTCCAACTGGCTGGCATGGATGGAACTGCAACGGATTTTGTCCTTGCAGGCACACGAAGAAATATGAAAACGGTTGGTCATCTAAAGTTATTTAGATTTAGATAGATGTAGGGATTGAATATCATGGAAATTGCCTTTTTCATGGAATTGTTGATTATATATGATTGTTATTAACAGCTATATCCCATTCTTCCATAAAATATCCCCATGATATCTCCATTAGGAGGGTTTAGCTCTACATATATATATATATATACATACATATAGAGGTAATAGATATATACATACGTACGTACGTACGTACATACCTACGTACATACGTACATACGTACATACGTGCATACATACATACGTACATACGTGCATACGTACATACATAAACTTATTATATATGTCCCATAAACCTCCTCTAGAAAAAGTCTGCATGATATGCCCCATTATTGTTCCCACTACGCACCCCCATTATGATAATTTCCAGACAGAACCCTTATAATTATATAGTTGATGGATGTTGATGATTGGATTTTAGTGAAATCCCCATGTACGCGGGTTTAATCATTGTAAAGATACATCCCACAAAATATCCCATGATATATCCCATTATGATCTCCCCCATATCCCATTTCATGGTTTCGCAACAATTCGCCATCCCGGGTTTATATCCCAAAAAAAATGCCATCATATTTTCGCTATGGGTCCGTTGTACATCCCATTACATATCACCTTGACATATCCATTATATATATATATCAAATTACCAGGCAGTGCCCGGCCCATGCCAGGGCGGAAGTTTCGAAAAAATCAAATGGCTATAAGAAATCAAATGGCCTATAGGAAAGTTTTTTAGATGCAGAAGCAATGAAGTGTTGAAGTTGGGAGGTGCATCAACAAATGAGCAAATGGATGTTGAGATGCGAATGCAATGACATGAAAACAACTCATGCACAGCTGATTGAATGAATCAATGAACCAATGAGTTAATGAAACAATGAATGAATGAATCTGTGAATCAATGAACCAGTGAATCAATGAATCAATGATTTTTTCCAACATCATCCTCCAAAAGTGCCCCAACCTTCTCAGTTTTTAACATTTGGAAGTGTAAATCAAGCTCTTTGAAGTGCAAATCGAGCTCTCGCCACAGTCTCGTGCACATTTTGCCAACCTCATCCTCCAACAGTGCTCCTCCGGGCATGCCATTTTGTTTCATTTTCAAGTGCAAACCGAGCTCTCGCTACAGTCTCGTGCACATTTTGCCGACCTCATCTTTCAAAGTATTACGAATTCCTCAGAATTTTAACGTGTTGAAGTGCAAATCGGGCTCGCGACAACTTTCCCAGATCGAGGCGCGGAACCGCGGAAACAGACACCCTACTTAGGCGACCCCAGGAGCCACATTACCCGAAAAAACACAGTGTTTCGCGCACAAAAGCGTTTTCACCTGGAATTCGCATGCTTCCGAACTGTTACACTTCCGAACTACTTGATGATGGGTGGTTGCCGTGAAGGAGTGAATGCTAACCATGACCACCGTCCATAACTCGGAAGTTTCTATCTAAACTTCCATTGACTATCCCCATTCTATATCCCCAGCATTATGATAAGCCACAGATTTGGAACCCAAATGTGAAAATGGTTTGTTCTACATCGATCGATTGTCCCATAAAACATCCCAAGTATATCCCCATCATAGACGTCCTTTTCCCAGAGAGGGTTCCCTACATTCAACAATCAACAAATAGATGATGATATGTAGTATACCAAACCCGTCCCACGACATTTTTCCTGAAAGGGCAATATACTGTATATTGAGCTCCATCGTTTTCCTACACCTACTGAAGTTATGAACCAACTTAGACTTAGTTGAATATCCCATTCTACATCACCTTGTTGTATGTACCGTTATTTATATCTGTTCACACTACACTTGTTATCTTCCGCTGGTGGTTACTCCATAGATACATAAACCCTTACAATCCTTTACATATAGATCCCAAATAAATACATATGCATGTGGTGGATCCCCATTGCATCTCATTATTTGTGGGTATTATCCCATGTGTGCATTGTCATAGATTGTATATCATCCCTTTCTGTGTCTCATAATCTATATGTACCTTCTGGTTCTTTAACATTGCTTTGCAATATGGACCGTGTACATATCATGTTTGATTATTTACCTATTGAAGATTGTGATCTTCCAGTTCGCTACATTAAATACCTACAGGGTAACCAACAAAATTGGTATATGTACTGGCATTAATTTTGGTTATGCTGAAATCCCATTATGTGCAATAATCTATCAAATATCCCATTATTACATCGATTATAACCACAGGATACTATAACTCTTATTTATGGATTATAATAATGGATTCTGCGTCTGCATCCCATTATTTTTGCGTATGGGATTTTTTTTACATCATTCGATAAATATCATGTGATCTAGTGATATCGAGCGATCTGATCCATAACATCTTGAATTTATCTAATAAATTAGGATATCGAGCCATATTCATATCGATATGATTTATTACCCTTATGGTACATTGTCTATATCGAATGGATATCCATTACATCTCCATCTAGCTGCGGCTGCTAAAGCGTGCTACTTTGCAGCCTCGACTTCTTCTTCTCCTTCGATCAGGTCATCGACGCCGACGGCAGCGGCACCCTGCACGTCACCGAGCTCGTGCAGGGCCTGCTGAAGATCCGCGGAGATCTGACCAAGAGTCCGGCGGCCATGGAGATCAAACGGGGAACAGATGGGGAAAAATATGGTACCATGGTACCATCTGGTTATTTAACGTAGCGAACTGGGAAGATCCACCATTTTTAATAGGTAAATCATCATGTTTATCATCTATAAATGGGCCATATTCCATTGCTATGTTAGATAACCAGAGGGTAAAATATCGGGCAAATATGGATATTTATGAGAAAAAGTATGGGAAAATATGGTAACATAGACGAAACACCTGTGAAAATCATTGAATAAAACTAGTTGACAAGTTGAACAAACAAAAATCGGGATGAATAGGTGATTTTTCTGATTGGCTACTGTAGGTTAGTAGAACTAGTACAACTGTTTCGGATGTGGGGTAGTTCCACCTTGTAGGGATCGAGGTAGATCATCTGCAAAAGGTGAACGTTTTTCAGTGCCACGGTGGCACACCTTTAAGAATGGTACGAATGTGGAAACCCAATGCCAATGGCATTTTCCATCTGGGGATGGTCTACAGTTTAAAGCACCCAGTGAACTAAAGCTGGTTGGTGGTGACTGGAACATGGCTGGATTACGACTTTCCATATTAATTGGGAATGGAATAATCATCTCAACTGATTTTCATATTTTTCGGAGGGGTAGGTATACCACCAACCAGATAGTGATTTTGATGGCGGTTTATGATCACAAAAATTACACCCCCGTAGACCCCAAACAGTCATTCCATATCAGCGTAGTATTGTTTGTACTATGACCAAGCGATGGCCGCGCATTTTTGCGCCGCGCATTTTTGCGCCGCGCATTTTTGCGCCGTCCTGCCCCCCATGTTACGATAACCCCGGATTTTTGTCTGTGAGATTCGTCCGGATACGGCTAGAGGTCGCATGCCGTGTGGCAACGGCATCTCCAATCAGATCCCCGCGGAAAACAAGGGAGACAAATGAAGGGAGACACGGCACAGACAAGACAGGCGAGGCGGACACCACCACTCAGGGAGACACATGAAGGGAGACAAATGAAGGGAGACAAGGCACAGACAAGACCGGCGAGGCGGACACCACTACTCAGGGAGACACATGAAGGGAGACAAATGAAGGAAGACAAATGAAGGGAGACAAGGCACAAACAAGACCGGAGAGGCGGACACCACCACTCAGGGAGACACATGAAAGGAGACAAATGAAGGGAGACAAGGCACAGACAAGACCGGCGAGGCGAACACCACCACTCAGCGAGACACATGAAGGGAGACAAATGAAGGGAGACACATGATAGGAGACAAATGAAGGGAGACAAGGCACAAACAAGACCGGAGAGGCGGACACCACCACTCAGGGAGACATATGAAAGGAGACAAATGAAGGGAGACAAGGCACAGACAAGACCGGAGTGGCGGACACCACCACTCAGGGAGACAAATGAAGGGAGACAAATGAAGGGAGACAAGGCACAGACAAGACCGGCGAGGCGGACACCACCACGCAGGGAGACACATGAAGGGAGACAAATGAAGGGAGACAAGGCACAGACAAGACCGGCGAGGCGGACACCACCACTCAGGGAGACACATGAAGGGAGACAAGGCACAGACAAGACCAGAGAGGCGGACACCACCACTCAGGGAGACACATGAAGGGAGACAAATGAAGGAAGACAAATGAAGGGAGACAAGGCACAAACAAGACCGGAGAGGCGGACACCACCACTCAGGGAGACACATGAAAGGAGACAAATGAAGGGAGACAAGGCACAGACAAGACCGGACAAGACCGGAGAGGCGGACACCACCACTCAGGGAGACTCCCTTCACATGAAGGGAGACAAGGCAAAGACAAGACCGGAGAGGTGGACACCACCACTCAGGGAGACTTCCTTCACATGAAGGGAGACAAATGAAGGGAGACAAGGCACAGACAAGACCGGACAAGACCGGAGAGGCGGACACCACCACTCAGGGAGACTCCCGTCACATGAAGGGAGACAAATGAAGGGAGACAAGGCACAGACAAGACCGGAGAGGTGGACACCACCACTCAGGGAGACACATGAAGGGAGACAAATGAAGGGAGACAAGGCACAGACAAGATTGGAGAGGCGGACACCACCACTCAGGGAGACACATGAGGGAGGCAAATGAAGGGAGACAAGGCACAGACAAGACCGGCGAGGCGGACACCACCACTCAGGGAGACTCCCTTCACATGAAGGGAGACAAATGAAGGGAGACAAGGCACACACAAGACCGGACAAGACCGGAGAGGTGGACACCACCACTCAGGGAGACTCCCTTCACATGAAGCGAGACAAATGAAGGGAGACAAGGCACAGACAAGACCGGAGAGGCGGACACCACCACTCAGGGAGACTCCCTTCACATGAAGGGAGACAAGGCACAGACAAGACCGGAGAGGCGGACACCACCAGTCACAAAGAGGCGGACACATCTTAAGAAAGAATTGAGAACCCCTAACAGTAAACTGTTTGGGGAAAAATCGAGAAATTCACCAGCAAGTTCATTAAAACCTGCCCCTACAAAAGTGCAAACGTGAATTTTTACCCATATCTGTTTGCGGGGGTTGGTGTGTACCACCAAGACACCAAGATCTTGAGTTGCAGATTTTAAGGAACCCCAACATTGAGCAATTTCAACAACCATTCGAATGGTGAGATATCCGACATAAAAGGGTTGTAAGTATACCCAACAGGAATATGTGTATCATCCTCTGCTACCCCAGCACTTGTTGGTCATGTTCATCCAATGTACCCCTCATTTTCTCCACCGTTAAAGAAACGCGAGCTCAGGTGATACCGTTGCAGTTTTACTGACCGCCAAGTCTGTGCATACCATGGTTGCTGCTCCTTGGCATCGACCTTGTGGGTAGGTCAATCTTGGAGATGCCATGAAATTTCAAGGATGTAATGGTGTTCTGGAGGTTAGGGATCCAAATGACTTGGATGATTTAGGGCTACCCCTTGCTTGAAAATGGGGAAGGTCTGAGAGAAATTCCATGGAGGGTAGGTTAGTTGACCCACAAGTCTTGAAGAATCACAACTTGACAAATGGGGCTTTCCATAAATGGGGTAATCCCTCATTTATGGATGGTCTATCATGGAAAATCTTATTACAATAGATGATTTAGAGGTACCCCCATTTTGGGACACCCCCATTTGTCATGATGACTTTGTCCCCAAAATTGTGTTGCCGCTGCTTTTTGATGTGACACAACAGCTTCCCGTTCAGCATAACTCCAGGTAAAATGGAGCTGAAGTTCCGATGTGGTTTGGCGAGCTACATCTCCAATATGGAGGTTTCCTAAGTCATGGTGGTACCCCCATTCATCATCCATTTGAATAGGATTCTCCATTAATGAGGGATCCCCCATTTTGGGAAACCTCCAGGACTGTGTCATGGAAAAATTATAACGACCTCACTGCGACCTCACTGGAATGATGGCTAGGAAGAGATAAGTATCCCAAAATAGCTTTAATCCAGGATAGTGAATTATCAGAATTTACCCAGATGTATGTACATTTTTCTTTTTTTGACTTAGACCATGTGCAAACTTCCCTTCGAGTTCATGCCAATGTGTGGCTCAATTACACCAATTGAAACAAATTGGTCCATGTTTCGGGGCTTGAACCTTCTCTCTCCAGCTTAAACCATGTTTGTCAAAATCCCAAAGGAAAAACATGTAGTATAGCTATTTTAACCATCAATGGTAATTACTTAATATTCTAGTTGTGCAAACATGTTTTGAAAGAATTAGCCATATAATGCCATATACATATATATATATATACAATTATATACATATATCTGGCTCATCATGTGTTTTTTTGCATCCCACCAAAAACATGGTGAGTTGTTCTCACCTCAGGAGTTAAAGGCGGAACAGCAGAATTTCCGCGGCATGCTACTGGAGCTTTTTGCCACACAAGACGCCTTGAGGAAGTCACTCAACAAAAGTTTCTCGGCACGAATTGGGGGATTTAGGTCAAGTCATGGCCAGATTTGGGTCATTCTGGACCGAAGTGGTCTGGCAATTCTTAAACCAGCCATAGAGGGGCTGATGAGTTTTGATGAATTTTGATATAGCTGACTTTGAAAAGAATGGGGATATAAAGGAAAAAAACAAAAACAAAGAGTGACGCGAATTATTAGAGGGTATTGGAGCGGGTTAAGAAATTCGAAAATGGGGATATATCAAGTCATCAAGTATGCAATCAGAAGGATAGCAATTTGCTGAAGGATTTGGTGCTTCCAACGAAGATTCTTGGATCTTTTTAGTCCATCTTAGATTGTCAGGCAGGTGTTGAAACAGTTTGAACCCTCAAGCAGTGCTAGGTCCAAAGTACCAAAATGTCATGGACTCCCTGTCAAAATGTCCTCCAAAGTTCATAAACTGGGATGTTCTTGAGGCGAATCAGGTTTTGAATGTCAGGTACTATCCATGTCAGATCCCAGGAGAATTCCACGGGTGAGATCAGAAGAAGTACAGCTGTAGCCAGGTAGCGTGTTAATGTATGTGTATATATATATATATACTGGCATATATATATATATATACATCTATTCTAAGTTCAGTGGTCATTTCAGGAAGCTAACTTGGAGGTACCTACCATGTAAGGGCTATGTAAGGGGATATAATTGCAAAAGATTGGATTTTTTATATGGCACTCCAGTTTAGGTCCTTTAGGTACGTCAAATGGCCCTGATTCAGGTGGGAAAAGCACCAGAGGTGCCAACCCCAAGGCCGGCAGCGTTTTGATGGGAAATGGACATGGCACAGGTCGGGAAGTCTCTCTGGCTGAAGTATCACGACAGGAGCGGCTATGGCGTGGAGGATAATCTCAGTACGCGGAAACTGTCGTAGATTCATTTCATGTATATATATTCCATATGAAAATGTCCTTGTAATTGTATGGTCTGGTCAGTCAGTATATTCAATGGGATTTTCAGGATCCTAAAATGGAGGTACTGTACCATATAAGGCCATGTCTTGTGGGGATATTCCTTTACATAGGCCTTATATAGGCCTTATATATGGTAGGTACCTCCAATTTAGGATCCTGAAATTCCCATTGAGTATATGTCTGGATTATGGCTGGCTATGGGCATCTTACACTTACCTTTGTGGGTCAAACACGAGGTGAATTTCATGCGCCGTACTGCGGAGCAACCGGCTGCCTGGCTAACCTCTGGGGGATTCTCCACCGGATCTGATCCTATGGGGATTTGATGCCATTCTCTCTGGTGATTTTGAAAAAATCACCAAAAAAAACCAAAAATGGGCCGTGGCTTCCATAGACTCATTGGGATGTCTTTGATGATGTTGCCCAGTCAACTGGTCACTTTGGGGCATACCCCATTCTACAAACCCATAGGTCCCTACAAACAGAGAAGTACATACACACATGCATATATGCAAAGGCACATGTATGCACATGTTTGTACGCATTACATACGTACAAACATCTGCAAAATATTCTGAAATATTTTGCTAAATACAGCAAGATGTATGTACATACCTGTATGTATGTGTTTCTATTTATATATATATATACACACGTACTGTATATATAATGTTATATATATATACATGTAGATGTGCATATATATATATATGTATATCTATATATATGTATATATATATATATACATATTCATCCCGGCGGACCGGAAAGTGAGGTCGTGAAATACTGTTTTTTCCCGAGAGCGTCTGAGCGCAGGGTTCTTCCAATAGTGGGGGTCTGTATCTCATCTTCTCATCTTCACATCTGCTCATCTTCACATCTCCTCATCTTCACACCGTCGCATCTTCACATCTTCTCTCACACCTTCTCATCTTCACACCTTCTCTCACACCTTCTCATCTTCACATCTGCTTATCTTCACATCTGCTCATCTTCACATCTTCTCATCTTGACATCTTCTCATCTTCACATCTGCTCCTCTTCACATCTGCTCCTCTTCCCACCTTCTCTCACACCTTCTCATCTTCACACCTTCTCTCACACCTTCTCATCTTCACATCTTCTCTCTCTCTCACTCTCTCTCCTCTTTCCTTTCTCTCTCTCCTTTCTCTCTCTCCTTTCTCTCTCCCTTTTCTCTCTCTCGCCTTCTTTATCTTTCTCTGTTTAGGCCGAGGGTGGTGCCGGCGGGGAGTCACGAAACGTGAACCCTTTCGCACGAAATGAGGATCGATCGTCAAAAACTGAGATAAAATTGCGATTTTACTTGTGCCGGAGCAACCCTTTCGCACGAAATGAGGGTCGATGGGCAAAAACTAAGGGAAAATTGCGATTTTACTTGTCCCGGAGCAACCCTTTCACACGAAATGAGGGCCTATCGGCAAAAACTGAGGTAAAATTGCGATTTTACTTGTCCTGGAGCAACCCTTTCGCACGAAATGAGGGCCGATCGGCAAAAACTGAAGTAAAATTGCGAGTTTACTTGTGCCGGAGCAACCCTTTCGCACGAAATGAGGGCCGATCGGCAAAAACTGAGGTAAAATTGGGATTTTACTTGTCCTGGAGCAACCCTTTCGCACGAAATGAGGGCCGATCGGCAAAAACTGAAGTAAAATTGCGAGTTTACTTGTGCCGGAGCAACCCTTTCGCACGAAATGAGGGTCGATCGGCAAAAACTGAGGTAAAATTGTGATTTTACTGGTGTCGCAGCAACCCTTTCGCACGAAATGAGGGTCGATCGGCAAAAACTGAGGTAAAATTGCGATTTTACTTGTCCTGGAGCAACCCTTTCGCACGAAATGAGGGTCGCTCGTCAAAAACTGAGGAAAAATTGCGTTTTACGTGTCTGTGTGTAAAAGGGTCCGTGTGTAAAAGTGTTAGTGTGTAAAAGCGTCTGTGTGTAAAAAAAAGCTTTTGTGTGTAAAAGCGTCTGTGTGTAAACGCGTCTGTGTGTGTAAAAGCGTCTGTGTGTAAAAGTGTTTGTGTGTAAAAGCGTCTGTGTGTAAAAGCGTTAGTGTGTAAAAGCGTCTGTGTGTAAAAGCATTTGTGTGTAACTGTGTGTAAGAGCGTCTGTGTGTAAAAGGGTCTGTGTGTAAAAGCGTCTGTGTGTAAAAGTGTTACTGTGTAAAAGCGTCTGTGTGTAAAAGCGTCTGTGTGTAAAAGCGTCTGTGTGTAAAAGCTTTTGTGTGTAAAAGCTTTTGTGTGTAAAAGTGTCTGTGTGTAAAAGTGATTGTGTGTAAAAGCGTCTGTGTGTAAAAGCTTTTGTGTGTAAAAGCGTCTGTGTGTAAAAGCTTTTGTGTGTAAAAGGGTCTGTGTGTAAACGCGTCTGTGTGTAAAAGCGTCTCTGTGTAAGAGTGTCTGTGTGTCAAAGTGTTTGTGTGTAAAGGCGTCTGTGTCTAAAAGCGTCTGTGTGTGAAAGCGTCTGTGTGTGTGCAAGCGTCTGTGTAAAAGCTTCTGTCTGTAAAAGCTTCTGTGGGGAAAAGCTTTGTGTGTAAAAGGGTCTGTGCGTAAAAGGGTCTGTATGTAAAAGCGTCTGTGTGTAAAAGCTTTTGTGTGTAAAAGTGTTTGCGATGCAAACTATTGTCTTGCACTTCTGCTATTTTGTCTTAATACTCCTCTTCTCGACTGCATATAACACATCTTTAATATATTGTTTCTAATATGGTGTCTCCATACTAACAAGAGAAGACCCTGCTCCTCTACACTCTCGGGCCATCCGTCGTCTAGTTCAAAAAATCATCGTTTCGCCTAGGCGAAAACACAATTCAGCGATCACAAAAACTCTGAAATTCAGACGTCTGAATTTGGTGGTTTTTTAGATTGATAAATGTGTATTTCGCCTAGGCGAAACGCAATTTCTGCTTCAAACAAGTTCAGGCATGCTCAGCTGTCCGCACCGTCATTTTTACATCTCTTGCAGTTTGGACACCGTGGCTTTCGCCAAGTTTTTGTACGTGTGGATGAATCTCCATTGCCACATCTTGCAATAAAGAATCAAGTCCGCACTCCGGGCATGCAAACTCTTTGGCACGATTTTTTTGCAGGACGTCCATCATCACCATCATCAGCGTAGCATCAAGAACCTCAGCAAGTTCACACGAACGTTAACATGCCCCACCCCACCCCATCATCAGCGTAGCATCAAGAACCTCAGCAAGTTCACACGAACGTTAACATGCCCCACCCCACCCCATCATCAGCGTAGCATCAAGAACCTCAGCAAGTTCACACGAACGTTAACATGCCCCACCCCACCCCACCCCACCCCATCATCAGCGTAGCATCAAGAACCTCCGACTCGAAAAAGAAGTGTTTCGCGACCTCAGTTTTCGGTCCGTAGGCATATTCATGTATAGATACATGTAAGATGTATATATGTACACATGTGTGAACCAAGCCCAGGAACGAAAGCTGCCTCGCAGTGAGTCAGGAATGTCAGTGCCATGACAATGCAGCTGCGGCAACTGATTCAACGAGTGTTTAAATCAGCCACTGCTATGTAGGGATGGGTCAAAACCTATTAATGTGGGAAAAACAATGCCATGTTTACCAGCCATGCCTGGGAATGGCAACCATGCCACCTATAAAAATGGTGAGCCATTGGGGGATGGTTTATGGGATTGTTTTACCCACATGAAAAAATGACCATGAGACTGGTGGGTTCAACATGAAGCAGCTATTCCAGAGGGTGCCTCTGGGTACCTCTGGGGTACTCTGGGGTACTGAAAGGGTGCCAGGTTCTTGACTCATAGCCACATGTCAAAATATGGCACACTTGAATAGAATTGAATTAATATTAATCAACTATGGGTTTAATGACACATTCCCATGTTTATATGACTGACATTGATAGAGATCGTCACAAAATAAGCAAAACAAAACAAGATGGATGGTTTAGCAAGCTGCAGAAAGATAGAACAGTAATTCATTGAGTTTTTTTGAATTGCGTTTGCCTCTTTCAGGGAATTGAGTTTACCTCAAGAGTAACCAACTTCTCTGAATTCATCAACAATTCCCGAAAACCAGAAGACAACCCAGGATGTAGCCGCAAGTTTCACATCCGCCAATCAAACTGAGCTGGGAAGATCTCCAAAGTTCTTCACAATAGCCCATTCAAGGGGATGGCGAGTATCGCATTGAAATCACTCGGAGTTCACCATGTGGTCGGTGCTTTGGAAGATTTGATGCATTCTATTCATAGATGGATCTAGAAGAATGATCCAGGTAAACACATTGTGGTGGAAAGGTGCCATTCCTGGGCCTCGCACGGGCCCACGGCTAAGCCTTTCAATCCTTTCAATGGGAAATCCAAAAAAAAGCCTCCAGCTAGGCCTTTCAATCCTTTCAATTGGAAATTCCAAAAAAAAGGTTTACACCAAAGCAAATGCAATAAAATTTCCCCAAATGACGATGATGATCCTAAATTTGTGATTGAAAATTATAGCGGACAATCATCTACGGTCTCTCAAGTCGGCATGGAACCCCAAAAATGGGGGTCTGGAAGGTTATTGCCCTACTGGATTTATGGATTTCTTTGATGACAATCTACGGTATGGAATGCTGACCAAGCTGTTTAACCGGCTATCATTTTCTCTAAAGGATGATCGTAATCCCACTGTTTATTTTCCATTAAACGATGTAGGTGATAATATAGCAATCATTGAGATTCTACCTTTGATTATCATGTATTATCAGAATATCTATAATAGCCCCACACAAAGAAGGCGCCAGGAAGTAATTTATTACTTAAAGGACTTCAGTAAAGTAGGATGTTGGCAACTTCTATTTTTTTTGCGGGTTGGAATGTTAGGGGTTCTTAAAATGGGGCATCCCAAAGTCACCATGGATGTCAATACTTAAATGTTCTAATGACTTGGACGATTTGTGATTACTCCCATTTTAGGAAACCTCCAAAATTTGGGATTTCCCCTTTTTCTATCCCCTTTTTCTGGGGATACACCCCATATTCAGACCATATAGTATCATAGTTTTGTGGTTAATATATATATATTATATATATATAGATATATTATATATATAGATATATCTAAATATAGATATTCCCACGATATTCCCCTGATCATTTTTTCGCACGACTCGTTTCGGCCGCCACTGAGGCGCTTTCCCCTCCGAGCCCACCGAGCCCTCCGGATTTCGAAGAGCGCAGTCAACCGGTGGTGATCGCGCTGGGCTGAGGCGTGGCCTTGTGGTGGCTAGGAGCGTAGATATACAGTGATATACATCATATAGGTATTTAGACCTACAGACATTCATATTATTTCAATTGATTTCATGTCATATGCATTCATGTACACACACACATGTGCGTGTGTTCATTTTTATGTTATATGCTTACAATGATACATTTACATATTATTATTGTATATGTGTGCATATATATTCTGTTTATATCATGTTGGACGAAGACTGACAAGGTGGTTCTGAATCAAGAAGAATGGGAAGTGTAAATATATCATATATATATATACACATATAGATACATATTTAGATGAATATATTGTATATGTACATTTACATACATACATACATGCATACATACATACATCCATACATCCATACATCCATACATATACACATATACATATACATATACATATACATACACATACATTACACACATTACATTACATTACATCACATTACATTACATCACATCACATTACATTACATTACATACATACATTACATTACATACATTACATACTTACCATACATACCACACATACCATATACACCATACATACCATACAGACCATACATACCATGCATACCATGCATACCATACATGCCATACATGCCATACATGCCATACATACCATACATACCATACATACTATACATACCATACATACCATACATACCATACACACCATACACACCATACACACCATACACACCATACACACCGTACATACCATCCATACCATCCATACGAGTAGTACTGCACAAGACTGTGGCGGAAGTTTCGAAAATAGGAAACCTATAGGAGAGGCTGGCTGTTGTGAAGCACGGATGGCAGAGCGAACCGATTGATGGACCGAAAGGTCTGAGGCTCTAAGTCTCCTCTCTTTCTCTCTCTTTCTCTCACTATCCATTTACCTACCTACCTACCTACCTACCTACCTATCTGTCTGTCTGTCTGTCTATCTCTATCTATCTGTCTATCTCTATCTCTATCTCTCTATCTCTCTATCTCTCTATCTCTCTATCTCTCTATCTATCTATCTATCTATCTATCTATCGGTCTGTCTGTCTGTCTATCTAGCTATCTATCTATATAATCTAATCTAATCTAATCTAATCTAATCTAATCCTATCTATCTATCTGTCTATCTATCTATCTATATGTTTATCTATCGATCGATCTATCGATCTATCTATCTATCTGACTATCTCTCTACCTTTCTATCTTTCTATCTTTCTATCTACCTATCTATCTATCTGTCTATCTATCTATCTACCTGTCTACCTCTATTCATCTATCTGTCCATCCATCCATCTTTTTTAATCTGCGTACCTATCTTCCTATCTATGTACCTATCTACCTGTCCACCCATCTATCCATCCATTCATCCATCTAACTGACCATTTTACCTACCTATTTGTCTCAAAGCTTTGCACCCAAAGCCGTGCCTCCACACAAATAGTCTACGCAACCCACTTATTACCACAAAACCATCTTCATGTAATGATGCAACTACCTACGAACTTTTTGTTCATTTACTCAACTCAAAGATGACTTCAATCTCTCGTTGTAGTGGTAGTGTAGTTGTAGTTGAAGTTGTAGCTGTACTGTGTTGTAGTGCAGTTGCAGTTGTCTATCTATCTGTCCATCAATCTGTCTATATATATATACATATATACACGAGTCTGTGTGTGTGTGGTTATCTATTTGTTTTTCTGTTTATCGATTTGTCTATCTATCCATCTATCTATCTATCCATCTATCTATCTATCTGCAAGTTTGAAAACGAAGCTATTCTGCGAGACTTTCTCATTTTTTTGAACTTGACAACGTCAAAAACGAAGCAATTCTGCGAGACATCCAACTTTTACACTTGACAACATCAAACACGAAGCGATTCTGCGAGACTTCCTCAATGTTTAAAGTTGGCAACATCAAAAACAAAGCAATTCTGCGAGACTTCCTTCAAAAATGGAAAGCTGAGTGCGGAGCTGACGGCCTCGTACCAATGCGTTTTGCGATTTTTCCACTCCATCTGTCTAAAGTGCTGCGCCTGCCACGAAAAATTGATGCCAGATCATACGAAGTGCTGCACCTGTCACGCAAAATCATCTTCCCAAAACTGAAGATCTTATGCTCCAAAATGCAACCCCTCTCCGGAAATCAGCGCCCTGACCTCGTAATATCTCTGATGATCATGTCTCTTGTACTGCGCCTGCCACGCGACATGCATCTTTCCAGATCCTCTTCAAATGCCCCACGCCTGCCATCGTTTTTGAAACTGCTACAAAACCCTCATGTTTTGCTCACTTTTGACAAGGTGCACAGTCCCCATCGCCTGCCACGCAAAACGACATCTGAACGTCCAAAAGTGCTCCGTACCCCTCAGTTGTTTACACTTTTGACTTCGAAATGTGCTTCGCGCCACACCGGCGTGCACTTTTTCGACCTCTCAACTTCCAAAAGTGCTTTGAACCCGTCAGTTTTTTACACTGTTGACTTCGACATGTGCTTCGCGCCACACCGGCGTGCACTTTTTGGACATCTCAACCTCCAAAAGTGGTCCGAACCTGGTGTGCTTTATACATTTTGACTTCGAAATGTGCTTCGCGCCACAATGCGTGCAACTTTTCATCTCTCATCTGACCGCATGGCTCCGCATCCGCCGCCTTAGCGAGCCTACGTTTCGACCCTCTAGCGCCACAAATCATTGGAAAAATCGCAGTGTTTCGCGACTATCCAACCTTTTCGCGCACTTGGATCTTCTTTCTTCTGAGACTTTCTCTTGTTTTATCTTCTTTCTTCTTCCCTTGTCTTCTCTGACTCTTCCCATCTCTGCTTTTCATCTGTCCATACGGTCAGAAATTTGACTTCTAAACTTCCTTCGACCATGCATACCATGCATATCTTGCATACCCTGCATACCCTGCATACCACGCATACCATGCATACCATGCATACCCTGCATACCCTGCATACCCTGCATACCCTGCATACCCTGCATACCGTCCATACCATACATACCGTACATATCGTACATACCGTACATACCGTACATACCGTACATATCCGTACATACCGTACATACCGTACATGCCGTACATGCCGTACATACCTTACATACCGTACATACCTTGCATACCATACATACCATACAAACCATACATACCCTACATACCTACATACCTAAGTACCTACATACCTACATACCTACCTACCTACATACCCACATACCTACATACCTATATACCTACCTACCTACCTACCTACCTACCTACCTACCTACCTACCTACCTACCTCCCTTCCTACCTACCTACCTACCTACCTAACCTACATACATACGTACGTACATACATACATGTGTTTACATATATATATATATATGTATGTATATATGCATATGTGCAGGTGTATATATATATATACAGCTATTTGGTGGCACGGGCAGATTGGCCATAGGCTGGTATTTGACAGGTATCAGCCACTTCCAGCGACTAGTTGTTGTTGTATTTTTGGATATGGGGGTGTCCGAAAATGGAGGCATTCGCCCCAAATTAATTGAATGATTTTGAGCATTGATTCACCAGTCGATGGACCGCGGCTGCGATGGAAAACAGGATTTTCCATTATAAACCATCCATTTTGGGGTACCGGCATTTATGGAAACCCCCATTTTTATCAAACCCCCATTTATTCCCAACAGGCCATGCATTCCACGACTGCCCGGTGAACCGGCATTGATTTCGTTGAAATGGCCTGGATGAAGAGTTGCATCCGAGAGACTTCCCCCAAGTGTTGTGATGGCCCCCTTGAACATGGAAGATGACAATCAACCCTGGGATGTTCCGGGATTGAGCTCCAAGATAGGGCATTAGAGGGAAAATATGGGAGAATGATGTTAAAAGCCAGTGGATGGGAAGCGTGCATGAGAACAGCTAGAATTGGGGGGCTTCTGCACCTGAAACCACACACTACGCCATGAAAAAGTGATTGCTGCATTCATGTTCCGCACAATGATTGGAATTGGTGAAACCACCATTTAACTCTTGTTGTTGTTTGGGGTTCCAGTTCCGGGGAAATTTGTTGCTCCTATCTTTATGTGTATAATTGTGTGTATAAATATCGATTTAAATACAAAGATAACTATAATCATAAATACTATATAATTACAAACACACATAGAAAAATGTATAAAAAAATATATACACATTCTATATTAAATATATTTATAAATATTTATATATATATAGATATTGAAACCCAATCAATGCAGGAAGTTTAGGAGGGGGAAGTTAGATATTGAAACCAGATGAGCGCAAGAAGCTGTTGAGAGACAGGGGAAGCCGGGATATTGAAACCAAATGCATACAGGAAGTTGCTGAGAGGGACAGGGGTGCAGGAGAAATTCGGATATTGAAACAACATAATTGCAAGAAGTTGTGGAGAGGCCAACGGGGGGAAACCTAAATATGAAACCAAATGGATGCAGGAAGTTGAGATGCACGTTGGGGGAAGAGAAATTTAGATATTGAAACAAGATGAGCGCAATAAGTTGTTGAGAGATGAGGGGTGAAACCTAGACATTGAACCCTAATAACGAAGCATGCAAGAAGTTGTGGAGAGACGGGGGGGAACCTAAATATTGAAACTAAATGCATGGAAGGAAATGTGGAGAGCCAACGGGGGAACCAGATATAAAATCAAATGAATTCAGGAAGTTGCTGAGGGGCACCGGGGAGGAAGTTTAGATATTGAAGCAAGATGAATGCAGGAGGTTGTTGAGGGACACCGGGGAGGAATCTTAGATATTGAAACAAGATGAACGCAAGAAGTTTGTGGAGAGGCTAGGGCTAGGGGGAAGTACAGGTACTCAAACCATATGAGCGCAAAGATATTGAACCCAAATGACGATGCATGATAGAAGTTGTGGAGAGACGAGCGGGAGAAGCCTAGATATTGAAACCGCATGAATGCAGGAAGTTGCTGAGAGGCACAGGCGCGTGAGAGCTTTAGAATATTGAGACAAGAGGCTTGCAAGAAATTGCGGGGAGGCCACGGGGGTGCCACATATGAAACCACATGAATGCAGGAAGTTGTTGAGGGGCACTGGGGGGAAGTTTAGATATTGAAACGAGATGAATGCAAGAAGTTGTAAAGAGGCTAGGGGGAAGGATAGATATTGAAACCCAATGAATGCAGGAAATGTAGGAAGTTTGATGAGAGGCACAAGGGGGGTAAGTTTAGATATTGAAACCAGATGAATGTCCCCAAGTGAGGCACTTTCACCCAGGCTGACACCAAGTTGAGCCCTTGCGTAACTGAGACAGGCCGGAAGAGGTGTGAAAAGTAGGAGTTGAGAAGAGGGCAGAAATGGAAGGAAGCACTGAGCCACACGATGTACTGGATTGCTTCCTGCCATGTTGCATGGTAGCGCAGCTCTAGCTTCCTACTGTCTGAAGAATTGCCATCAAGACGCAGCTTGGAGAATCTATCCAAAGGGGGTGTGGTTTGGGGAAGGGCCAGGTCCAGCAGGAGGGTGCGCAGGTCCAAAAGAAGGGTAGCCATCTCCAAAAGAATTGCAGTAAGGTCCATGAAAAGTGTCCAGGCCCAAAAGAAATGGAACGAGGTCCAAAAAAGTGTTTTCCTATGTATATATATATATATATTTATTTATATTTATTTATTTATTTGTTTGTATATATATATATGGTCAACTTTGTACCCCGGAGATGCGCTTGTGGTGATTCCTAGAGGGAAGTCCAAAATCCATTGATGGTGTTATCAAACGGCCTCCAAGCATCGTAAGTGGTGTCATCGACCCGTGGTATAGGCAGCTGTTCAATTCTGGGATACCACCAATTTTGTGCAAAATTAATGAAAAATAAATACATGCATAAATACATACATACATACATATATATATATATGTATATGCATACATGCATACATGCATGTATGCATCTTGTATACATATATACACACATTCTATGTATGTATATATATATATATGAAATGTCTTACAATCCAATTACGATTTATGCATCCAAGTGGAGCTGCTGGGAGACAGCCAGTTGATGGAAATCCCATCTGACTGCAGCACAGCCGTCAATCTGACAGTTGTTTTTTCATAGATTATAATAAGTATATAATGAGAACATGCAGGCCTTTGAATGTCAGATTCACAGCAAACATGAATGGGTTAAGATTCTCATATTAAGTATTAAAGCAAAGGCAAATGTCAACCCCAGATGAACGAGATCATTGGGCTGTCAACCCCTGGGCTCATTGGGGGGTACCATTGGGAGGTAACAAATCACCTTTGTTGGGTCGGTTCTCCAGTGACAGACGCACCTGTGTAAAGTTTACTGTGTCTATCTGTGCTGAAAAGCGTCAACAACCTAATTTATCATTCATCATGTTTCATTTTCAGCATTGTTCATCTTCTGTCATCTTCATATATTTTTCCATCATCTTTTGATCTACTCCCTGTTTTATTTTTTTTGCGGCCACGTTGTTGTCTAGTGTTCAAAGTGTTCGGCAACTCCAGCAGCTTTCATCCAGACCGCAAGTCGGATTTCAGCAGTCAATCCTGAAAGGATCGACTGCTGCCTGAATTCTGGTTGATGGCTTTCCCAGAAGCGCCAATTCTAGGGTTGTTTTTGGTTATCTAAGTTTTCTATATTCGTACAGTTACCATAATTATTCTAGTTTTTGGACCCAAAAAAACACGGCCTATGGCGTGGTCCGCCTCCAAAGCTCGCAGTTGGTTCCTCCAGGCCACAGGGGAGGGGGAACCGTTTGGGGAGGTGTGGTGATCCCTGCTCACATATAGATATAGATATAGATATATATATATGTGTGTGTGTGTGTATGTAATGTATGTAATGTATGTAATGCATGTAATGTTTGTAATGTTTGTAAGGTCTGTAATGTTCGTATTTTTTGTAATGATTCTAATGTTTGTAATGCATGTATTGTATGCAATGTATGTAATGTATGTAATGCATGTATTGTATGTAATGTATGTAGTGTTTGTAATGTATGGAATTTATGTAACGTATGTAATGTATGTAATGTAATGTAATGTAATGTAGTGTAATGTAATGTAATGTAATGTAGCGTGCTGTATTGTAATATAATGTAATGTACTTTAATGTACTGTAATTCAATGTAATGTAATGTAGTATCATGTCATGTCATGTAATGTAATGTAATGGAATGTAATGTAATGTAATGTAATATCATGTCATGCAATGTAATGTCATGCAATGTAATGTCATGTAATGTAATGTCATGTAATGTAATGTATGTATGTACGTACGTACGTACGTATGTATGTATGTATACAGTTGTATACATATTTTAATAGATCTATAACTGGGTAGGCTATATGACCTCATTGCGACGTCACTGAAATTATGGGCAGTACAGGGAAAAATCAGAATAGCCGTATTTCAGGTCAGTGAAATATTGCAATTTTTACCCAGCTAATATACATACATATATTGTATGCATGTATTTAGTCATTTTGAAGTAGACAGAATATGGAAATGTCAAAAGAATCCTCGCTGAATTTGGAATATGGTTGAAAATCCCATATTCCGGCTACTCGTACTTTAGGATGATTATATGTATTACGTACCTAATTTGTTCAAGTCTATGCCAATGTTTTTTAAATGAACAGTTACGCGCATATCAAACCGATGACCAACACTTACACTTGCTGTACACTTGAAAACAGTATAGAATCACACGGAATTCATGTATAGCAACTACCAACCCGCAAAAAGATACAAAAGTGTTTCCAGGATGTTGAAGATTATATTTTCCCTCTTATTTTTCAGATTTCCTACTTTTATGTTTTTTTTGGTGGGGGCTATCACTATGGAGCTTAAGTGGCCCTGGTGTTGTGCCACCAACCTGTCAGCGCGAACGAGCGATGATGAGCAGTCCGAAATTTCCGCCCAGTGGTGGTTGCCCACGGGAGGAAACATGGAGGACTTCGACGCATCTTTCGATTTTTCTGTGTCTGAAAATTGGGTATAGTATAGCCTCCAAATGGGCAATGTTGAGAAGAAAATAGTAAAGCATCAAATTTGGGGGCACCCTTGTTTTCAGACCAACTCACCTCCTTGTTTTGAAGCGCTGTTAACACAGTCGAGTTACTCCGGCACGACGTCCACATCGACGGTACATCCGTGAAAATGGCCATCTCTCAGGTGCACAAGGAGAAGTCTCCGGGGATCCCTGGGGGTGCAGTTGGGGTTGTTGTTTTGGAGATAAGAATGGCAATAACCATCAATAACCTGCATAAGTTTGGATATAACATGATATACAGTAACCCTACAATAGTTGGGATCATATAAGCCACTTATTAGTTGAACTGCAGGTTGCAAGTATTGTTATTAGCCATGGTTTTTTAGTGTGTTTTTAGGGAGTTTCCCAACCACTTTCTTTTTTCGTTGAATAGCTGAAGCACCGAGCCACCTCCCTGGATGAACCATGGTGAGTATCATTCAATAGTCAGGGATAGGATTCTACCCATAGTAGAATGTAAACTATTGATAGTAGATATATCTAGATATCATACGATATCATATCCAATCATTAGGCCAGAAAACATCAAAAAACTCCTGTACATTGAAAAAGGAAAACCATTATATAATCAAGTCCTTGACTTGTCCATTAACTTTCCAGCCACAAAAATTCCACCAATTCCCTAAGGATTTGTTGACTTTTCAGGGAGCCCACCCCGAGTCCAGTCACGGATAAAACACACTGCCAGCCGCGTCGGCTCGAAGAACTT